TTATCACATAATATTCAATTGAGAAATATATATATTTATATAAAATTTAAATATATTTGTTAACTACATTATATAAGTTTGATAATTTATTATATTTGTTTTAATGTGTATATAATTAATTTTATACATTTCGAATAAGAAATTAATAAATTCCATTTTTTAATTGACAAATATATTGCCAATTGATATCAAATGATAGTCAATATATCAATATTAAAAACTTAATTTTAAGATATAATATAAATATTTGAAAAATACATTTACATTATACACCATTGAACAATTAATTTTTTACGAAGTAGCGCAAGGGCAATAATTGTAAATGTAGATGAGACATATATCATAACTCATCATTACTAACAAAAGTCCATCCCCCTAAATGAGCTTTTGAATCATCAACAATACTTTGCATATCAAATACGTTTCCATCAATATGTGTATTTATTCTAATTTTTCTATTTGGCTTAGGCAAAGGCAGTTCTCTATTATAGACAATATCCCAATCAACATCATAAAAGTATTGATGTGCTTTAATTTCTTCTGAGTCTCCCTTTCCTGAGCCTAAACGTTTAGCAGGATTCCTTTGTAATAACTAAATAAGAGATCATAGTTACTGCTTTTAATAGATTTCTAGCTTCAAGTGAAATGTAAGAAGGTATTTTTAATGATGCGTTTTCTATGTTATAGAATAGTTCCTCCCTATTATTGGCATAATAAGGTGGTAACCCAACCAAAAGTTCGTACATTACAACGCCCAATAAATACCAATCTACAGCTTTTCCATGTCCACTTCTTTTCAGCATCTCCGGTGCAAGATAGGCAACGGATCCGCAAAATGATCTTGCTCCTGTGCTTGGTTCCAAAATACCTTCTTTTGATAGTCCAAAATCTGTTAATAATGCATGTCCTTCACTATCTAATACTATATTATCAGGTTTTAAATCTCTAAAAATTATATCCCTTTTATGTAAGTCTTCTAAGGCTAGAACAATTTCACACAGATAGTTTTTAACAATGTTTTCTGGAAGTCTCTTTTACTTTTATAATACTTCTCCTAAATCTCCTCCAGGGCAATAATCTAGAATCATGAATAATTTATCTTATGTTTAGAATGCAAACCTAAGTTTCACAATAAATGGATGAGACGTAATCGATAACACATTTCTTTCAGTCAAAGCATACCTAGTCAAGTTATGTTCTAATATTATATAATAATTTTACTCATTATTCTATTTTTATGAAGTACTTTCATTGCATATAACTGATTACTTTTTTAGACTAAATAAACTTCTCCAAAACTGCCCTTACCAATCAAACCAATAACTTAAAATTATTAAGGACCAATTTTATCATCTTCTTTGTTTTTGATAGAATCTGAATTGGTTGAAATTGTTGTTGTTAATTATTATTTTGATGAATGAGTTGAATTGATTTTATTAAACCTTTCTTATTTTATATCTTGTTAGGTACGATTATTAGGAGAGGATGATTGCTTATTTACATTTGTTAAATTTTTACAGGAATAACTAGCTATTTGAAGAGGAGTTTAAGCAGAAGCTTAAGTTAGTTGTTATTATTGCTATAACTAAGAATTTAATTAGCCCCTTTTATTCTAAAACATTTTCAAAATTACATCATTCTATGTATTTTATATTTAGACCATGTTCATTTTTTACTCTAAAATAATACAAAAAATCATACATTATTTTTTAAAATCCTCATTATAATTTCTAAATAATTATTTAATTTCTTCATTAACAGCATAAGAATCTGGAGTTTTATTTTCCTTATTATACTTAAATTTTATTGATTATCGTTTCAAAAGTAATTACACTATGGACTTTTACTCATTTTTGCATGCATAATGTAAACATGTGTTGCCTACAGAGTCTTGATAATTGATATCTGCTCCAGCATTCATAAGAATCATAAAAACTTCTTCTTAACCACTAATTATATGATGATTCTTACTGAATGGCTGCTAAAATAAGAGGGGTCTTGATATCCTTATTAGGCATATCAATTGGAATCTATTTAAATATTAAGGCAGAAGTTAACTAAGCATTTCCATTCTTCGCTGCATAATGCAAAGCTGTATTATCTGAGATGTCTTTGGATGTTAATGATGCTCTAAGTTCTGGATTTATCTTTTGTCTTGGAGGTAATTTAACTAAAATAATTTTTAGATTTACGTATGTTATGAACAAGTGTTGGTTCCAAAAGTTAAAGACAACCTCCAGTATTATTATTTTTGCTTTCCTTTATAAACCATTGGTTTAATTATTTTTTAATGTCTTCCAACTCTGTAGTTCTTGGAGATAATGCTTCTACTGTCTTTGTAATTAATTAACTTGAAATTGGGATTTTAGGTTCATCTGCTTGACTTGTTTATCTTTTTGAACCTGATACTTTCCTATTTTAAAAAAAAGGCAGTAGTTTATGTGTTGAATGAGAACGATCGGTAGATGATTTGGTCTGCTATTTTAATTATGAGACAGGTTTTGGAGTCATGGTTTTGGAAGTATTTGATTAGGATTTTGCCTGACTTAATCTACGATTATTAGCATCCTGAATTTGCTTTAATTTATCCAAATATTCTTATAGTGTAGGTTTGCTATTGCTGTTAATATTCATTTTTGGATTTCTTATTATTTAATAATATAAAATTCAAATTTTAACATTAACAAAAATGAAAGTGATTCAAAATCCAACCCAGTATTTCTTTGAATAATCTAATAATCCATCTGATTAATATTTAGATAAGATAAATGTGTTCATTGGAAAATTGATTAATCAAAAATAATGTCTATTATGCAAATAAGATTACAACATCAAAGATAGATTACCTAGAATACTTATTCATTGTGGGCATACTATTTGTACTTAATGTTTAAGCAATTTCTATAGGTTATTATAATTAAATTAATGAGTTTTAGAAACAGAAGAGTACGATGTCCACTTTGCTTGAAATTAGTTAAGCATCTAGATTCAATCGAAAGATTACCTGTATCAATATAATCAAAAATTTAGATAAACCACACAATTTTCACAAAAATGGCTGAAGAGATTAATAAGAAAAGCAGGTCCCATGGAGGAACTGATGTTATAGATCCTTAATAATATTTATTTACCTAATTTCAATAATCAGCAGTCTAAGCATAGAAAATCAGATAATAACAATAAAATTAATATCCCTAAGTTGATCCAGATTCAGGACTTGAATTTTGTGAATTCCATAATGACAGGGTGAAACATTTTTTTTGCATGAAGCATAAAGTTACTTGCTGCCGTGTATGCTCTGAAATGATTCATTAAAAAAAGGTAATCACCAACTTTTATTAAAGGACTGCATTGTAGTTGATCTTTATGAAATTGAGGATGTTCCAGCTTTTTTGAATGAAGCATACAAATTGAATTAAGAAAATAATTGTTAAAATTAAAATATCGAATTTTTACCAGGTATAATCTTTGTATTAGATAGATGATGACAATAATTTTAATGATGATGATTTAGAAGGAGAATTCGCTCAAGATGAAAGTCTAAAGAGTTTATGATAATAATTAATTATATATGTAGCTGAAGTAATAAAATTATTCCCTTTTGATAATTATCAAAAATAGGCTTTAAAATTAAATTAAACTTTATTTTAACTACAATTTATTATAACCTGCTAAAATTATTCTTTTTCAAATTATCATTCTTAGAATTAATGTTGATGTGCCAATTTATTCTAGTGGTAATTTATTTTTTTCTTAATAATATTAATAGAAGAATACAGATCAATGTGATATTTATATTGAAATTATAAGAATTCAATAATCAAATATTGTTAGGGAGAAATAAGTATCCAACTGCACACGAAATATTCATTATTTTTCTACTTTTATGTATTTAATTGTTATCTAATATAATTTGAAACTCTTTTTAGTAAGATAAGGCTAAATTTAAAAATTTAGCAAACAGCCTTACATTCTTCAACTTTTTTCTTAATTCAGGGTCTTACTTCATACAATTAAAATTAGTATTTAAGAAGGTTTTCTAATTTTTAAATCTTAAGTTGATATTGAAATATGCGCGTAAGAAGAATGCATATTAGTGATTTGAAAGCCAAAACAATAAAAATTAAATTAAATTAAACTAAAAATAAAGACAATTTAGAAACAATTTAAACAGAATTATAATTTGATTTGAATATAGAACTAATAATATCTATTGCAAGAATCAGGTTCTAAATTTACTCAAAAAGTTTGATTAGTTTTACTTTGTGATAAAAAGTAAGTTTTATTTACGATATAGAGACAATGCATATACTTGCATTCATGAATAAATCTATTTAATTTAGGTATATATGATTGGAAATGTGTATGTTAATCTTTCTGCATAGCATTAAATTTATTAATTTAAAATTAAAAAAATTATTATAAAAAACAAATTATATTAGATAACAATTAAATACATAAAAGTAGAAAAATAATGAGTATTTCGTGTGCAGTTGGATACTTATTTCTCCCTTACAATATTTGATTATTGAATTCTTATAATTTCAATATAAATATCACATTGATCTGTATTCTTGACTATCATTATTTTTCTCTGATTTATCCTATTTGGGATGAATTTATAAAAAGCTAGCATATAATATTTTAATTAAGATTTTGCTAAAATAAATTATTGAATTTTTATGGAGCAATTGTTTTTTTCATTATTTTATAGATTTAATAGTACATAGGTTTTATAGATAAATTTTGGAACATATGTTGTAGCATTCTTAATATAATTAAGAAGAAATTATTAAAAAATTTTTGAGACCATCCAGAGTTATCTAATTGAAAATGTGAACTACAAATATTTATTATTCTTTTTTAATACTCAAAAAAAACTCATTAAAAATGCTACATATTTTGTTGTTAAGGCTAGAAAATAAAGTAGCTGACCAACCAATCATTAAATATAGTTGTCTGAAATATATTCAAATGTAGTGAAGTTAATTTATACGCACTTAAACAATATAATTTATTCCCTTTTTCTTGTTAATTCATAATAGATTTAAAGTATTATAAATATTTACGTGTCTAATTTAAATAGAGTAAGGTAATTAAAGAATAAAAAGGTTAGTTAGGAGAAAAGTTTGCAAATCAAATCGGACACTAATAAAAATTAGTAATTGAACTTTTGAAAAACAATCTCATATCTTCTACTTCGGTTTGTATTTAAATCTAATCTATCATCTCTATTTATGCATCCAATATTTTATTCTGAAAGAAAAAAAAAATTTCTGTGAAAATGCATTTTCTAATATTATTAATGTGCATTGATGGATGATTATTTTTAATTATATTTTATATGTATCTCATTTTTTACACTTACAAACCTTTCCCTTTTTTTGATTATAGCCAGTCCCACCACATTTATGACATATTCCAGCATGTTTATAACAGTCCTTACAGAATTTTTGTTTACCTTTTTTCATAATTTTTCCAGTTCCGTGACAACTAAAATTAAAATATTTCATTACTCATGACAATTAGGATTAAATTTAATTTACACCACGGCTATCTATTATGGGGGATATCCAGGATAACCTGGTTGTAGATGAGGTTATCCAGGTTATGGGGGATAACCAGGTTGTGGGGGATAACCAGGTTGTGGGGGATAACCAGGTTAAGGTGGGTAACCTTATTATGGTGGATAACCAGGTTAAGGTGGATAACCAGGTTAAGGTGGATAACCTGGTTGAGGAGGATAGCCTGGTTGAGGAGGATGACCCTGAGGTGGATAACCAGGTTAGGGAGGATGACCTTATTATGGCGGATAACCAGGTTGATGAGGAAAGCCTGGTTATTATGGATAACCAATTTATTAGGGTTATTATGGAAAGCCTTGTCCTTGTCCATCTGGATGAAATTCAATTATAACGTGTAATTCACCAGAAGACTTTCCTTTATACATCAAAGGGATTGGTCCTTAAAATTATCTTGTTTGCTCAACTTATGCAGTAGGGAAGGATGCTTAGCCGATTAGATCATTTTTAGAGCCTTGATCGTACTGGATATTATAATTGAATTACATCCCAAACTTCAAATTCAATTAGGTTTTCATAGGTTTTTCTGAATGTAAGAACATTATTCCATACAGGAGTTTTGCCAGCTTCATTAGCGACGGAAGTATTTTAATTTTAATTTCCCATTTTAACAATGACAAAGGGATCCTAATATTAAGTTCAGATATAATCAAGTACCATTTTTCCAAATATTTCAGTATCTTTTTTCAAGTTAGCCTTAAATGGCCTAATAATCAATGTTCCTTGCATTAATAATAATGAGTCGATCTGTCATTCAGATTTATATTTATTTACAATAATCATGAATCACAACAAATTGAATACATATATGGAATTGTATGAATTGAAAGGACCATCTGTTAATAATTATATTATTAATAATTGTCATTTGACAGTGGTTGTAGGAACTCCATCTCCCAAAGCTTTAACCTTTTCCATTAATGAGTCATCAACAACAGTACCATCCACATTTTTTAAAGTGGTTATTCTTTTGAGAACAAGCAATTTAGGATCGTCTTTCTAGTTTTCATAAATAGGATTTCCTTTTATTTAAATTAAAGATTACCTACAAAAAGAACATTGGCAATTTCGGGAAGGTCTTTCAATTTATCAACTTCATCCCAAATTTTGATTCTATTATTACCAATATAGAGTGTATGCAATTTAACACATGGTTATAGACCATCAAGCCTTTCTATGTAATTGTAACTCAACCATAGTTCTTTTAATGTTTATCCTATTTCTTCTAATCCAGCTATCTTCTTTATATTATTTCTCGATAACGATAGGATTTCAATCTGCCTTAAGCCAGGAAGATTGACCATCTTCTCTATAGCATTTGAAGAAAGGGATAGCCGTTTAACCTTAGCTAAAGTATTTAAAACTGGTGGATCCAATTTGTCAAGTGGAGGATTTTAAAATATTAATCTAATATCTTCTGCTTCAGATGGTTGTTCACCTGGATGATCTTGCTCCCAATTTTAGAGAGCTTTTGCACAAGTTGTCTTTGCCATTTGATAATTTATATAAAATTTATTATTATTTAAATAGTTCCAAAAATCTGTTTAAATAGGTTAAATTTATATGCATACAATACTTATAGACTCTAAAACAATTGAACTTTATACTAAAGTATTCATAATATTTTTAGTTTAATATTAATTATCCTTCTGAGTTATTTAGTAGAATTTGGATGGATAGCTTAATTCAACAAGGATGATTTATTATTATTAATATTGATATCATAACAATGTATTTTCAGAAATGAAAAATGTTATTTCAATTTCGTAATTTATAAGCATAGATTGAGTTTCGAACTTTGGGGCACATTTATATTTGAAAAGTTTGTTAGTGAATAATGTTTATATATATATATCTGTATTATAATCAATTGTGTTCTTCAAAGGGAGATAATACTTTGATTGGCTGTGTGTAAATATTATTGGATAGTTGATTAATATAAATTACACAAGAATTTATTATTTTATTTATTAAATAACACTCTTTTTAGGAGTAAAGAAATAAAAGGAAGGTATGGTTTCATTGTAAGAATATTTCTTAATATTCTTTTAATATTTCTATATACGTTTATATTTACCTATTACTCAATATTACTTTAGGAATGAGCGAAGATAATTAATTGAATGTTGATAAAAACTAAAACAAAAATAATCTTGAGAAAATAATAAAGTTAGATAAAAAGAATGGGAATTTTGATATTTATGATAAATATTCCAAGTAATGTCAATTTTTAATACCAATAGACGGAAACTGAAAATTAGAACCTCCTAGAATAATTCACACATCAACAGTTCATATTAGAATGAATACATTTTATGTTATTTTTGGAGACACATTAATTAAGTATACTTCAAGAAAATTGATGAACCTGAATATGAGCGACTTGACTATCTCAAGGCTATCAATGAAGACATAATACACACCTAATTTCCTGTGAAATATGCAGATTACAAGTTTTATTAAGCAAAATAAATCTTAAATAAGTAGTATTTCTAATTAGAAAATGCCACTTATAAGGAAAATATTTAAAAGCACATTAGGCTAAGTGGACTTATTCATAAAGCCAAAGATCTAAAAATTCCTTAGATTGATAAATTATATTATATGAAATAGAAATCTATGGTCAAATTTAATTAAAAAAGTATAAGGTAATAATTTATTAATATAAGTTCATTGATCTAAGAAAATGCTTAGTTAGATAAAATATTAGATAAGTTGAATGAATAAATTGAATTAAGAACTGGCCAGAAAGATGAAATATTCTTGTAGCTTTAAGAATATACTGCAGAATTGCAATAACTCAATAAGTCAAATAAATTAGATTTATAAAATTTGAATTAAAAAATTAAATCTGAATAACCATTAAATGTATTTGGCACTTAGGTTCATATATACAAGTAAGCACGTATTAATAATGGACTCAGTAAAAATTAAATTATCTACAACAATGAAGCTTTACTCAACTTTTTAAGAAAAAGTTTAGAATAATTGGATTACAGATAAACAGCTGAATCCATTGTGAAAGTAGTAAGTACTACTCATACTTCAAACGGGTATACATTTTGTGTAGCATTTGAATAAGCTTTAAATTCAAACTATGTTAACATTTAGGAAGAGTTGATGTATGAGTTAGATAAGTTAAGAGATACATCCTTATTTAAGTTTTACAATATTCCCCAAAAAACTAAGTACTCCCATATCTCTCAAAATGTATTTATAAATAATATCACAGTTCATTGGGATAAACTAAGTATAGCATAATAGATAGAAACCTAATCCTTTAATAAACAAGAACCTCACAAAAGAATCTAAAATAGCATCATAGAATGAAAATGATTCAAATTTATCACGTTATGAGGCATGTCATCATTGTAAAATGCTATTTAGAGAGGAATACCTTATATCTTGTAATTATCGAAGTAGTACTATGGGATTGCCAATTATAACTTCGTAAATGACAGATTCCTATTTGTTCTCTTAATGTATAGATTATAATATGTAATTTTAGTGGATGAGGAAGGAATAACAAGTCGAAGATAAGTTCCAAACAGAAAGAAAACAGCCTATAGCATTTATTCAAAGAAAAGTAAATTATTACCTAATCCTAAAGATGGCGAATTAATATGTCAAAGGAAATTCTGTAGAATGTGCTTAAAGTAGAACTATGAAATTAAAATTGAAGAAGTAGTTTAGAAAACTGATTGGGTTTGTCCCTTTTGTTAAGTACATTCCATATATCGAGCATCTAGGCCATTTGTTTTTGTTCAAGATGCCAAAGAAACGATATCATGATTAAATTGAAGGATCTGTTTACAATTTGTGGAGGTGATCTCGACTAATTGTCCAAAGATTCAATTTTTGAGAAATATGTTAGACCTTTGACTGAAGAATAATTATACAAAAAGAAACCTACTCAATTATAAGTAGATTTTTTATATTTTCTAGAGGACTGGCTTTTCAATTGTAAAATAATAATTGAGCAATTTTAAGGATATGCAAACCATAAGACTTGATTTTGAAAATCTTAGATTATTGTGTTCTTAGATAATGAGAAGAGAAAAATTGAAATGGAAATTATTAGAATAAGACATACTGATGTGGAATGAAGATGTCAAATCATAATAACTTAAGAATCATAAGAGCACTTAGAAGAGTAAAAAGCTACAATAGAAAACTAATTAAATCACAAAGAAATTATAGAAGTAAATGTTTTACTTAATTTAAAAAGGTAGGAAATTGAAAAAGTTCGTGAATATTAACCCTCATCATCTTCTAGTAGTAGCGAATATCTCTTAAGTAGCGAATTCGAATCTGAAGAAAATCAAAATGAAATTTAGAAGAATAAATAGAAAACTTAAAAAGAGATCAATCCAAAAGGGAAAAATTAGAAATAACAAAAATTAGTTAATTAGATTGCATAAAATTAAAAGTCTTTACCTGCTAAAAATCTTAAGAGAGAAGTTGCTTAGCTTTTATAATACCAGGATACTGATACTTACAGTTAAATTTTAAAAAAAATCAAAAAGGATAAAACAAAGAACTCATCCAAGAGATGATAATTATTAGTATATAATAATAATAGTTATGAATTATTAATCAACAAAGTAAACATATCTACTATGCATTTAATGTACATTGTATACAGACATAATGTCTATTACATTTAGCCTTAATTTGAGCATGTATCCTATAATATCATCAGACATTGCGAGCATTGATAATTATTGTTTTTTATCTCATCCTGAGTAAAGTTTCTTTCTTCACATTGATATTCTATTATTTTTTTTAATTGAATGATTAGGATTCCAAATAATTAGGTACATGAGACCCAACAAATTTAGGAGGCCAATTAGGATCCATTAATAAAGTAGCAGCATTAGGTACTGCATCTTAAATTGTATTTATTTCTTCTATCTTTCAGCCGATTAAGGTCTATTCTTTTATGTCTGATTCTTTAAGGTGATTAATTTCCTTATTAGTTTGCATTGCATCCAAGGATGGGACATTCAATAGAGTACTTATTTCTAAAATAACTTTTTAGGCAGTGTTCACAATATCTATGTTTACAAAAAATGTTGTTTGCTAAATCTACTTTTGCTAGCCCACATAAGGAACAAGTCCTTAATGTTATTTAAATATCAAACTCACCATATTATACCTCACCAGAATAATTGAAAAATCCATACTATTAAAATTCTTTAACAATATAAACCATTTCTTTAGATACTTTTCCTAGTTCTTTTAAGTAATAGTTTTTTTTATAATTCATTTTTACAAATCTAATTCCGGACTTCACAATTGATGTCTTATTCCTTAGTTGCTTATAAGCCAATGCAAATCCTTCTAAACATATCGATGTTTTTTTATAAAATATTGTGATTGCGATTTGAGGACTTAGATCTGCTTTCAATTTAAAAATCAATCCTCTTAATTAATGTACTGTATGTCAAAAATAATAAATTTTCAATGTTTCTTTTTCCAAATATTCATAAATCTCAGTCAACATTAATGTCTGCTCCCAGATTGCTAATTATTCAATCAAGAGTAAAAATTATGCAGCCTTTGGATTTTTGAATACTCTTAAATAGCCTTTATAGACAATTTAGTCACAGGTACTATCGAATATACGCTGAGTACCATTCTTTTTCTGTTATTATTTTAATTAATGTCCAAAAAATAAACAAATGATAATCCTGATAGATATAAAGGTGATGCTGGCAATTTCCAATCTTTAGAAAGTGATGATGGTCCAGGACCTATGAAATGTATTTGGCAAAATTAATTATTAGCTATTGAAGGATGGATTGTGATTGTTAAAGGCATTCATGAAGAAGCTCAAGAAGATGATGTGTTTGATGCTTTTAGTAAATATGGACCAATAAAAAATCTACATTTGAATCTAGACAGAAGAACTGGATTTGTTAAAGGGTATAATACCTAATAATAAAATTTGATAGATATGCCTTAGTTGAATTCAATGAATATACTCATGCATCTGATGCAATTAATGGGATTAATAAATCAGAAGGCATTTGCGGTAAAAAGGTTCAAGTTGATTGGGCATTTAAAAAGCCCTCTCAAGAAAGGAGCATTAAAATAAACTAAAAAATAATGATTTAGAATTTATATGGTTTTTATTAAATAAATAAGAAGTAGAAACATTATGATAAAAATCTAGTTTTTGTAAAATATTGATGTTTCCCTTAAGTTCTTAGTAAATTTTTAATTGATAATTAATTATAATACATGTTTGGTATAAAATTAACTTATTATTCTCATAAATATATAAATCTCAAGTAATACTAAATTTAATTATAATTAAGATATTTTGATTTCTATTTTGAGTAAATGTATTAATATCTCAGTTATAATCGATATAGAATCACAGCGATTCTAGATCATTCTCTAATTGATTTCGGCCTAAAAAGGTAGTAGAATCCATTTAAGTATACTATTTGCTCTTCAGCCTTCGTCTAAAAATAGGGTTCTTATGGATTATGTATTCTTCCTCCAAATCAAAAAGGGTTCTACGAGAGGTATGCTTAGAACTTTGATCTTAGTCAGAATACTCGAATGTGGGAGTAGAAGGAGTTTATGGAGTAGATGGCAAATTGAGTGTATTATATGTTAAATTTTGCATTGCAATTATAATTATTAATTATATATATAGATTAATTTAAATTCAAATTATTGGAGCACGAGAACGATTTATAAAAGCACATTCACACAAATATAATTCTAAGCTTAGTTATTATATTAATCAATAGAATTATTTTTTATTTTTATTCCTAATAAAAAGATAATCAGTATGGTAGAGATGCTTATAAACATGAAATGTCTAATTTTAAATCCGTGATCTTTATTATCTGACAAATATTCAATTAAATAACTACATTTTAATAAAAAATCAATTCTTTACACTATCTGATGATAATACGAAATGGTAGCAATACAATTCTAATGATTAAGCTTAATTACACAAAGTAATAGGTTGCTTGAACAAATGGATAGTAGAATGAGATTGAATATAAATAGCTAGTAGGAACAAATATAAGGAGATGATAGTATACAGATAAGGAGAGCCATCGTAATAAAGATATCTATATAAATGTTCTCTCTTGTGATATTATATATATTTATTTAATTTGAACTGTATGATTGTATTGATATTAAGAATATCATAAATTCTTTAAGAACTTCTCTTCATATAGCTTGATACTTTCTTCCACAATCCTGTATGCATCTTCTTTTCCTTTGAATTCCTCGACAACCACATGTTTGTGTTCAAGCTTCTTGTAATCCTCAAAGAATCTTTGGATTTCTTAAGTAGTATGGGATGGAATATCCTTCAAATCGTTGACACCTGCATAAGATGCATCATTTTTGGCCACTGCAATTATCTTATCATCGATTTCTCCTTGATCAACCATATGCATAACACCAATAACACGAGCCTCGACTAGACACATTGGCTCAATTTCAACTGAACATAACACTAAAATATCTAAAGGATCTTTATCATCACAATAAGTTTATGGGATGAATCCGTAATTTGCAGGATAATGAACAGCTGAAAATAAGACTCTATCTAATTTTAATAGACCACTGTCTTTGTCCAATTCATATTTGGCTTTACTTCCTTTTGTGATTTCTATGATAGCATTCACAATTCTAAATTTAAATAATATTATACTTTGGACTGTCACTGCCAAAATGAACATGATGCCATGGATTCTTGGCATACTTTTGAATCAACTAAGTGGATTATTAATGGTTCATTTAATTATCAATAAATAAAATAATTAATATATTTTTATCTTATCAAGATTGTCTTATAATATTTAATTAACTCAGAAATCGAAATTTATTATAAATCATTTCAATAGTATTTCAGATGAGATGATTATTTTAGAGTAATTAAGTTGGATTGAACATGCTAAATATTATTATTTTACTCCTAATCACTATTAGTAAGATTGATTAGAATATAACTATACATTTCAATCTATCTTTCCTATTTTTAAAATTATAAAATAGTAGTCATGGTTTTAAATGTTAATTCTAGAGCATCTCTATCCAATTTAGGTACAGGTCTGTATTTTATGAAAATTATAGGATTTCCAAATATTTGATGGGGTTTCACAAATTAATTATCAATAAGTAGAAGAGATTTCTTCAACCAATATTATAAAATTGAATATTCTTCTAATCAGCAACAAGAATTAATATAAATATTGTTTAATTCCTATTTCAATTGGTATTTTAATACAGGTCAGGTAAATTTTTGATTTCATAAACTAATAAGATTTAAGAATATTTTGATTACTTCATTATAAAAATGCTTTCAAATATTTGAACATTATTTAGTATAATATATAGGTATATTATACTTTAGAGATATTAATGGAATGCAGTAGTAATAATTAAATGTTTGTTTATTTTTAATATATAAATTCATCAATAAAATAATTGAGATATTTAATATTTAAATTATTAAACTAACTCCGAATAGCATAGAAAAAGTAATATCTCCTCCTTCTTCTCTCACATTCCTCTCATATATTACAAAGTGTTGATTTTTTTATTCTTAGTGAATACGTCGAATGATGAATATCCTTGGAATTAACATTAATAGGATGGTAATAATTTTCTTTTTTGATTATCTCCCTCTTTAGAACTTCCTCGAAACCAATTCTTCACGCCATCTATACCACCCGAGAAGGACATTAGGAATAAAAATTGTAAATTGCACATTGGAAACCTTCCTTTGTAGATTACAGAAGAGACATTGCATCGTGTGTTCTCCAAATATGGTTAAATTAAAGAAGTTAAGATCATTCGCAAAAATAGTTAAGGGGTTTAGTTTTTTATATATATTTAAATAAGTAACCACTAAAAGATTACTGCTATGGGTTTGTTCTTATGTGCGATGGTGATGGAGCTTAAAATGCTGTCACAGAATTGAAATAAAACAGTCCCTTGGGAACCACGTGGACAGTTGCTTTTAGTAAAGATAAAAATGATGTATGCTTTTACATTTTGTATTCTTCCTTAAGGATTCTGCTGGTGCCGGTCATTAGAAATCTGATAAGAAGAAGGATGATAAGGTTAAAAAGAAGGAGAAATCAAAGGAGAGATTAAAGAAGGATAAATCCAAACCAAAAAAGAAAGTTGTATTTTTTAATTAATAAAAGAAGAAGAAATCAGAATCATCGTCCTCCTCTGATTCTTCAAGAGCAAGATCTGCTAAAAAATAAAAAAAATAAAAAAAGCGTAAACATTCTAGTTCATCTGAATCATCTTCTTCTAAATTGCCACCTAGAAGTGCTCTTGTTAAAGTTGAGAATAAGGACATTGCAGAGATAGTATTTTCAGGTGGCGATTTGTAGTCTCATCTAATGTATTAATAAGTATGTTAATTTCTAAAAAATAAAGTAGCCATAGTAGCAATATCAAATAACTCATCATGTCTATGTAAGAGAGTTATTTATATCTGGGATACCTCAATCGAAGATTTCTGCAGACATACAAAGGATCTTTTCTGCTTATGGCATTGTAGAGAGAATTGACATTGTTCCTAAGTAATTGGTCAATTACGCATATGTGAAATTCAAGAGACTAGAATCAGTCCTCTAAGCTATGCAAAACTCATCCTTGATTGCAGAACTATTGGAGAGTGCAGGACAAGTCAAAATATATTAATCTGATCCATTTCGAAGAGTGCAAATTGTTGGCAATGCTGAAGATAGTGAACGAGTAATTTTAAATGATAATAAACTTATAGGAAGAAGAAATGTGGCCAGTTATGTTCATTGGATTTCCTCCAAATTAGAATTATGTTTTGGATGAAAAATTCTTGAAAAAAATGGCTGAGAAATTCGGAGGTGAAGTCAAAGGAATTCAACATTTCTAACCAGATTCTCCTTAATTGAGATCCTATGTCTTAATAGAGTTCTCCTTTTTAAAGGATTGCAAAAAAGCCAGAAGGAAATTCTGTAGATACAAAATACAAATATTGGGTGACAAAAAGTGTGATGTGGCTATCTTATCTAATTATCCTACTAATGTATAAAACAAAAGATAAAATAATATGTTTATGCAATAACCATATGCAATGGGTAATACATTCATTTTATAATCAGATTATATGCAAGTTAATTAATAAATACCTATGCACCAATAGATGGTATCTAGATAAATCCCATAATAAGTTCAGATGTTGGCTCCCTTTCAAAATTAGCCTATACCCTAATAACATATAGCTCCTCCTAATTTATAAAATATATATGACTACAACTAAATGCCTATTTTATATCCTCAATAACAATCAAACTAATAACAAATGATGTTCATGAAAAACCAATAATAACAACTTTAAATTCCTGCTTAAACTCCTGTTTAACCTCAATTTAGACCACAACCCCAACCAGTTCCTTAAACTTAATAGCCCCCTCCACAATTACAATATTACTAATAGCTAAATCCTTAGGCTTAAGCTTAGAGTTATTTACCATAATAATATTCAATGGATATGATCATCCCTCCTCCAACCATGAAGTAAGAAGAAATCAACTCGCCTTTTTGGTGTGGTTATATGAATAGAGGAAAACAACACAGAGTTGGTATAGATGCAAGAATGCACAAAACTAACATGGATACCAAGAAGAGTATTATTGATTTCTTAATTAGTCAACTTACCTTCTAATCTAGAAATGAGTTATAAATGCACATATTAAGATGCCTATTAGAGAGCAGGATAAGACCAATCAGCCATTTTAATATTTAGTCCTGCTTAAGATACAGACTTTCCTAAATTCGCTGAATATGTTCAATACTTAAGAAATAAGGTATTTATCAATTTCAATCTAGTAACGAGCTGGAGTCATCTAAAGCGAGGCATTCACAATTTACGTTATTCCTCCAGGAGTATCAGAGGCATAACTAATTTGCAATATCAATTAATAAGAAATGATAGCTATTTATTGTCAAAAGGAATTAAAATGATGAATTTATAGATAAAAAATATATATTCAAATAGAATCAAATATTTTACAAATTTAATTTTAATCTCTTTTCCATCTGTTTTTGATCTATTCAACTTTTTAATTTTCCTATTATGTTGAATTAGATTCAACAATTACTAATCTCAATTTTGATTGTCTAAAAAGATCTACATATTGTAATAGTTAAGTCAAAATCAATTTTATTAATATCCTTAGAAACTTATGTTGACTACTTAAACTATATACAAATTAGGAATTAATATGATTGACATATATAAATATTATAGATTTTATTCCTTAATTGGTACTCTAATCAATTTATTAAATATTTAGAATGTATAATATAATTTTATTATTGATTGAGATTGAATATAATTGTATAATAGTTTTGTGATTATATAAAGAAAATTATTATATTTATTGCTAAGAAATTATTTATAGAATGATAAAATTTAATAATAAAAATTTAATCGTTAAATGGATTACTAACAAAATCAGTGTCAGCATCTAGATCTTATTCCTTTTAATAATAAGTTCTTTTGTAGATTATGCGGGATTCACATGCCCGAAGATGGGAGCATAGGAATTAAAGCTTTGAATTTTAGTTTTCCAGGTTATCTAAATCCAATACAAAATTTGAAGAAGTAATGGAACCGAGCAGTTCCAATAGGATCATAACCAGGAGAATATTAAAAAGTATTCATATCCTAAATGTAATAGCAACGCTTATCTTTAATCGATTATATGATAGAGTGGAGTGAAAAGTTAAAACTATCCATGAATTCTTTATTTCTTGCAGTCTAATTTTTAGATTATTTTGTATCATAAAAGAAAGTGGACCCTGTTTAATATAGATTGTATGGTGCTACTTGTCTTATGTTGGCAGGTATATATTTATAATACTTGAGCTAAATCAATTGAATTGGATGAAAGAATTCCGTTTATTAGTAAGCTAAGGAGATATACCTATTTACCTTATGCGACATTAGATTTTAGAAGATGTGAATGCCAAATCATTAAGTAATTGAATTGGAATCTACAATGTACTACTTTAATTGATTGGGCTGAGGCAGTGATCTCTTTAGGAATAGTCTATGAATCGGATGAATTAGCATAATCTGAAAACGTCTTAAAAGAAAAAAGTACCAACATTCTTCAGCAATAAAACAATCAACAAATTAAATAAGACATATTCAAGGAACATTTGGATTAAGTTCTCAAATAGCCTATTGTTGCTCCAAAATAAGTTAATGAGAAAGTTTAAGAATAGCTAATTAAACTCTGTGTATCTGTGCTGAAAGATGGAACCTTCTTAGACAAAGATCCAGCAGAATTGACGGTTTCTGTAATTGGGTGTGCTAGAAAGGCTAGTGGATTGAAACATTCAATGTAAGTGTAGAAATTTAAATTAGACCAAAATGCTTGTTTGAATTGTTAGAAAATGTAGAGCCAAAATTTTAAGAAAGTTTAACTGATCAGTTTCTAAAATAAGTAAAATAACCAACAAGTGTCTTGGGACGAGCTTTTACAACAGACTTAGATTTTTTTAGTCTTTAAAATCACAAACATAGAATAGTATGATATATAATAGTTAATTAATACTACCATGTATAAAATCATCTTAATTCGTCGATTGTGTGGATTACTTTACTAAACTAACTCTTTTTTAAAGGATCCTCTCTTAAAGATAACTGAGATTTTCTATGATGGGGTATTATTTCTTGATGAGGTGACAAACATTCATGTTTTGGAGAGGTTATTTTAACTTCTTTTAGTTCATTCTTAAAGGCCAAACCATTATTGGCATCAAATCTAGGTGAAATTTGTATGTAGCTTCCATTATATTTGTTCTTTGAACTTTCTGAACCCTGAGATGATATAGATGATTGTCTAGAATGATTTGCTGATTGCAAAGTCATTTATTTTTTATGTTTCATTTTTATATATATATAATAAAGTAGTATGTTTTATCTTGAGATAAATTCTTTATTTCATCATTAGTTAGTTCAATTATTTGGAAATAGTAATTTTCAAGTATTCATATTAAAATACTTTTCATTAACATTGTGTTACATTTGTTGTAACAAACAAAACATACATCATAATATTGTGTCTAAAAATACAAATGTTATTTTCCATTTATCAAATATTATTTATTATATTATATCAATATTTTGTTTTGTATTTTTATTAATATATAATGCCATTATCATTCTTCAAGCATCTTTTTCCCTTTCTCTGCATACTCTTTGTTGAGTTCTTCCCAATTTTCCAACACCATTTCAAATTGCTCAAAGATCATTGAATGTGTCAACCTATTTCTAGAAGGTCCAACTTCCATTGAATAGATCTTATGTGATGTATTTGTTTCAATTGTTCTATTCAAATAGACTCCGTAGCTAAATGTGATATAATCGGTCATACACATAATGAGGAATCCAAATAACTGCTGCTAAACCAAATGAAAGTCTTGTTTCTCTTCCAATATAATCGTCATACAATCCTCTGAACCACCAATGTCGATTTCTTACTGCAATAGCTGCTCCCATTTTTAATTAAATATATTTAATTAAGATTTTATTGAATGTATATATAATCTGATTATAAATTTTGGACATGATCAATATCGATCTCATGCTCTAAAATCGTGTGAGCTATTCAATAATTGTATTTATTAATTGAATACAAAGAGCATAATAATGATTAAGTTTTTAAATAGAGTAAATAACAAATTAATTAAGTTTTTAATTATATTATAAAATGAATACATATGAGGATGAGAAGAACAGAATAGCACTGAAAAATATAATTGATGAGAGAAATAAGAAGATTGTCAAAACTCCATTACCTTAATTCTATTTAGATTAGGTTTGTGGAATTGCAGATAGACCAATCAGCAACCAGTTGACATTCATATAAGGAAGTATTGGAAGTTATATTAATTTGTAGATCTAATTGTGTTTTATGCATCTAATATGATTATAGTTCAGAATGTAGAGACAGGATAATAATAATTTATACCAGGAAGATATAAAAATGTGACTGCGATTGCTGCTGCAATGAGAAAGGATGGTTTAATGATTGCTGTTGGTGAAAACTTGGAATAATCATCAAATTTAGTTATTATAATAAAGGATAAAATAAGAACTATCTCATTGTAATGCAAAGGAGCTATTTCTTTAATTTAATTGAATGTAGAGAAGTAATATTGTGGATTGCAAATCTCAAATTAGATATAAATTTGGAATTATGAAAAGGAAAGACTCTTGGCATCAGCAGTTGTTAAAGCACCTTTCGAGAAATTTAGCTTTCATCCCTTGAAACATAAACACATTTTGTTATCTGGGCATAATTATTTAAGATTATGGGAAATGTAATTTCAAGAAAAATAAATTAAAGAAACCCATGAGACACTGATTCCACTGAAAATAGAAAAAGAGAATAAATTTTTAGATCATGGATGGGTCATGCTCTCAGCAAATTAAGCTTTGTTAGTCTTATTAGCAGCTGGCAATAAGATTCTTATTCTAATTAATGACCATTTCAAAAAACCTATTGATATTGATCCTCAAAATTTAAATTTCATTGATGCTCCTGTATAGGATTTCAATGCAGAAGATAATGACGATGTGATGGGTATTAATTCTGCACTTGAAGATGCTATTAAAGATAAAGTGGGATAAATTGTAATGAATAATCAAACTAAATTAACTCAAAATACAACAATAATGACTTAACAATAATTGGAATTCTAATGTTTATCAACTACTAAAAAAGGATTCATCTTAGGAGGTACAAAAGGAGCTGTATGCATTTATGAATTTGATAAAAATTATAACATTGTAAGTGCCATGTCTTTTAATATGAAGAGTAATAGAGGAGAACATAAAGTTATCTAAATATCTAATAGCGGTGATCAACTCATTTCCATTATAAGTTTATTTGGTAATCAATTGTATTATAGTATTTTGAATACTGCTCAAATGGATACCGAAGTTAGTCCCATCTAACCATTCTTTGCTGCAGGGTTTCATAACAAAAGAGTTAATTCTATCTCGCATGCTAAAATTAAATAAGTTTTTGTTACTTGTTCGGAAGATAATTCTGTTAAAATTTGGAATTATTATCAAAATGAAAATAATGACAAAAAAGGAGTCTTAAGCAAATATTTCAAAGAAGAGCCCGTATGTGCTTCTATGCATCCATTTGGCTTATTTGTTGCTGTAGGATTTACTAATGGGTTTAAGGTGTTTGCCATCCTGAATGAAGGTTTCTTTCCTCTTAAAGATGTCACCCTAAACAACTGTAAAATTGTTAAGTATAGTCATGGTGGCCATATGCTTATTACTAATGAAAAAACTAATGTGTACATTTATGATGCCATTTATTATGAACTCATTCATCAATTTGAGTTTCATAATTCACCTATTAAAGATATTGCCATATCTCTAAATGACCAATATATAGTTAGTACTTGTACAAGTGGATATGTATATTGTTACAATTTAGCAGAACTAAATAATAATGTCATCAGAGAGTAAAAACATTAAGAATAAGGAATTTTCAATTCTATATAATATGATGAATATTTTATAGGTTGTACTAATGAGAAATTGATGGTGATTTTTGATTAACATTTCAAATTAATTACTGAGTTCCATGTAACTGATTGTTACCTAACCAAATTATTAATGACCGATTAACATATTATTGCAGGTACTTCTAAGGGAACTGTGAGGATATATCCAATTAGAGATGAGGATAATTTAGAATTAGAATTAATAAATTAAAAAAATGAAACTATGTATAAATTACCTGAATGTTATGAAATTTCAGTTCATGCTACTGCTATCACTTGTATTGATTACGACGGTTAATATATATTTACAGGATGTGAGGACGGATCAGTTTGTTTGTTGAAATCTAAAAGCGAGATCTCAGAAGAAAGACAAAGGATGGCTGCAGTTTCAAATGATCTTTATTTAGAAGTCATATTTAAGATATAAAAAGAAAATGATAGGATCTAATCAAAAAACTTTGAAGTTATCAAATCTGAATAAACTGTGAGGATAGAAACTGCTAAATTGGAGACTTAATTTAAATAGAAAATTGATCAAATGACTAAGAAATTTCAATAAACTATGTCTGATGATAAGAATTTAAAGGATAAATTTGTTGAGAAATCAGAATAGGATTATGATCAATTATATAGTTAATATATGGAAGAGAAAGTTAAATATGAAAATGAAATTAATAAACTTAAATAATAACATATTGAAAAAATAGAATATGAGGAATCTAGAAATCAAGAAATTGAAGATGAGATTTAAAAAGTATAAGAACAACATAAAAATGATTTATAATCTTTATTAGAATAACACAAATAGGAATTGAAATAAATGAAATTATAATTCTATGAAAAATGTAGAAAAGTCTAAGTCAAATACTCTAGTGTTGTTGATAATGCTAAAAATTATGGAACCGCCTTTATTTAGAGATTAGAGAAGGAAGAGGCTGAATACGAAAAGGAAATTGATGAATAAATAAAAGATTTGGAAAATCAAATTGCAAAAGTCATTTAGGATAATGAGAAATTGGAAAAAGAGAACAGAGAATTAGCATCTTAATTTGAATAATTAAAAAAAGATGATGATGACTTGCAAATTTAATTCAATGAGTTATTTGATGAACACAATAAAATTAGACTTGAAAATCTAAAAAATGATGATGATATTTTGAAGATGTAACATCAATTACTTGAAAGATTATAAGTTATTGATTCAAAAGAAGAAACTTGTAAAGCTGCTAAGGATGAATAAATCAATTTGGAAAATTTCAGATATATGCTAGATTAGAAAATCAAAAGTCTTCAAAATGATAAATAATTATTGCTTGACAAAATTACTGATAAAGAAGTAAATATATAGTTAATTATTTCTAGTATAAATTAAGAGTAATGTTCAAAGAATTGATTGATGAATCAAATAAGAATGAAATGAAGTATTAACAATTAGTTTAATTACGAGGATAGTTAGATGTTATTGAAACTTAAATTAAAAAAACTGAAATTTAAATCTTCTTAAATGCTAATAAATTGAAAAATTATGAAAGTGTAAGAAATCTCATATATTCATAATTAGACCTTATTATCCATCATGAAGAGCAATGATCCTCCCAGTCTCATAGCATAGAAATTGAGACAAATCATTAATGATAAAGGGGAAGAAAACGAAGAAATCGAATAATTATCATAAAAGAAATCCATTTCCAATAAAGATATTAAGGACATAATCAAATTGAAACAAGATAAACCTAATGAATTAAATGAAGAATTGCTAAGATAAGGTTAATGGATGACTAAGAAATTATATCTTATTAAAGTAACTTCGGACAAGTTAAAGAAGATCAGGGATGACAACATAAATACTATTTTCAACTAGAATACTAAACTTATTGAAGAATGTAATATGCTCAGAAGTGAAAATGACAGGTATTCAAAAAAGATCAAACATGTTGAAAAATTAGTAAAAGATGCAGACAGATTACTATAAAGATTAAAGCCGAAGTTGAACAAATAACCAAAATTAAATCAAATTGAAAAATAAATTGAAGAATAGAAACAAAAAGTTCAAAATTAGAAAACTAAGCTTTCTAATTTAAAGGATTCTATGAGTTAAATCTTAAAAAAGTCAGTTGTAGATTGATATTAATCAATATAATAATAATTATTAATATTATTTATTAATTATGTTAATTTTATTAACCAGCATATTTATTCAATTCCAGAAATAATCAATTACATATATAATTCTCATGTATCCTTATATTTTGTTTTTACTATTACAATCTATTTTTAAATTAATAGGGGTCGATCATCATTTTAAGCTGTTTAAGCGCGTATTTACCATAATTTGATTTTAATAATTAGATTGACGCATTATAAATTAAATGACAATATCGTATTTATATATTAAAGAATAGATTGAAGAATTTTAAGAATTAAATAAGTTCTTTATTCTTTGAATGTCTTTAATAATTCGGAATATTTCAAGTTTAAGAGAAGAATGGAAATAATTAGTGAAAAAGAAGGTAAAGAAAAACAAAAGGAAGAATTAATATACATTGCCGTATTCTTTTGATAATTCTAAAAACAATAACAATAATAAAACTGATTTGCTTCTAATAGTTAAGAAGATTCCAAATACGATACCAAATAACAATGTTTTTAGACTAAAAACAAACATCCAGTTTTCAATGAACATTAATAACGATCATTCAATGGGATCTTTGTCAATTGATCCACATTCAAACAACTATAAAGTAGTGAGAACTGATAGAAGGAAAAACCTTACTATTTTAACATTAGATCAGATAAATAGACCAATAACTCCTTCAGATGATTTATACTAAATATTTAAAACAAGAAATGAATAACTAGCGGATGCATTTCTGATGTTTGATTAAAGGAATCTTGATTCTTCAAAATTTAAATTAAATTAAATCTAAGAAATGATTGAGTTTGAGTCACATATCAAAGGTTCTCCGTATGCATGTTACGTATAAATATTTGAGAATGGAATGTGGAGAACGTTTTAAAAGATATTTAATGAGAAAATGTTATAATTACTAGCAATTTCAGAAGAAATGCTTATTAATTACTGTAATGAAACGCAACTGATTCCAATAAGTGCCTTTTTTGATGCATCTGACGAGCAGCTTCATGTTTTTTGTAAAATCTTCTGTGGAATTGTAGGATAAGTAGAATCTAAAAGAGATTACATAAATTATAATGGGTAAAGATTTTCGGCTGCTTTAAAAGTAAAGAGTTTTTTTATTATGGATGAAGATAAGGGTTAATTATTTGAATATACATATTTCATAACTGAGTGTGATTAGAAGTGGATGTCTGAGGAGAGAGTCAGATTAAATGAATTGGATTATTTCAATATAAAGCCTAATAATTCTTCAACTGAGGAATCATCCTTTATAGAACAATAGAAAAGATGTGGATTCAAGTAACTCCATTGATATAATTTAAACAGTTGTTTATAAAAATTTATTCTGATGTTATTTTTTTACTCATAAATTTAATTTATTTTATTGTCTGATATAAAATAATATAATTTCTTTAATTATTTTCCATTTATTTGAAATTATTTTATTTCATAACCTTTAATTTTTGTTTACTTAGATAGAATGTGATATAATTGAGTTTAAGAAGAATTTATAACCATCTTATAAATTATAATAAATCAATAATTTGAATTAGCCACTCAACTATTTTTAAGATACAGATAACAAGAATCACTGGATATCTACTCAAAGATAGCATATGAATTTTAGAATGAATGATGTTGCCTTCCAATTTACTATAAATTTTAAATATGATAATGGCCTTACTCATAAACTTCAATTTATATATGAATGTGAATAATATGGTAAGGGATATCTTCATAAATTGCAGATAAAGAAACATCAATTAATTGGATATATATGATGGTATAATTTACTGCATGGGAATTTATGAAAAATAGATGCATTCAACAATCATAATTAGATGGTTGACAGCATTAAACTTTTTGAATAAGAGATTAGGTTGAAAGGAATGTAAATAAATTAAGTTCTAAATATAGGAGATTAGAATGGGGTATAACTAACTCTAAAGATGTTTAAGAAGTAATAGTGCTAATTATATTGGATGACAATTAATCTAATTCTAATAGATTTATAATAATTCATTAATCTTCATTAGCTTCTTCTTCGGGATTATTCCATAAAGTCAAATTGTCTCTTAATAATTGCATGATGAGAGTGCAATCCTTATAATTCTCTTCATTCACAGTATCAACCTAAGCAATAGCTTATTCAAAAGCATCATTGGCTATTCGAATAGCTTCAGTTGCATTTTATAAGATTTCATAATAAAACACTGACTGATTTAGATGTAAGCCCAAGCGAATAGGAGAAGTAGTCGATAAATTTGACTTAGCCAGTACATCTGCCTCTCTAGATTGAAATAAGAATTGAATTACTTGTAAGACTGAGTGGCCTATTCAACGGCAGCATGATATTCATTATCTAATAAGAATTCTGCCAAATATCTATTATAATCTCCCTTCATTTTTAAATAAAAGACTTTGCTATCAACTTATTTTGCATTTGGATAGAGAGTGCTATCAATTAAGTTGAGTATTTCAGAACATGAGTTTTTGAGTTCGCCTTCAATTTTATGCTTATAATTTCTGATATAATTTAAAGTGTATTGATCGGTTTGTTTCCTCGACTCTTTTTATTCGATGGCAGTGAGCACTCTCAATTCTGCTCTTTTATTACCCACCTACAAATTTGAATAAGCAATTAGATGGATACCACATTTTTATATGCTGCTGATAAAATGCTTCTTTCCTCCTTGTTCAATTCTTGATCCAAGAAATGCTTAATGAATTCGATCATGTCATTAAATCGTTCTGTTTATTACGCAATTCGAGCTAAGAATAAAAATTCTTCTCTACTAAATTTATTCATTATTAATATAATATAATCATTTTTACATAGGCATTATAAACTCAAAGACATGTTCTTCTTAAGTGGAATATGTATTAGACAATTGAAGTTGCATAAGTGCTATTATTTAGTGAGATAATTGATAAAATAATTGTATGCACTTTAGATAAATTATAATTATGATTAAATATATATTTTCTATTTACTAGTTTTCAAGAAAAGTTCCATCTTAGCTTGCCAAATAAGTTTTCATGTAGAAGTTAAGAGAAGATGATGAATTTAAATAATTACTCAAAAAGGATTAGCAAACATCTCTCAAACAAATATAAGGAGACAACTATATGCCTGAACCTAAAAGAGGAGATTCAAGATTGCCAAGAGTTAAGGACAATCTAAAGGAAACAAACACACATCTGACTGAACAGAAAAGAGTAAAAATGATAACAATACGATAAGATTAATTCAGCAATAAAATCTCTAGAAGTTAAAGATGAGTCTTCAAAAGCTGTTATTAAGAATGCATTGAAAGAGGAATTCTTTCTTATGAAAAAGTTATCTGAAGAAAATGCCAAGATGGAAGAGGAAATCAAAGTTAAAAAGAGAAAGAAAGAGTTGAAAGACATATTCAAATAAATTGAAGAAATGGATATATAACCAGATGATTAAAATGCAGAAGTACACATCCCATTATTATTCTATTAGCAAATCCCTTATTTTAATAAATTATCAATGGAAGAGAAATATGAAAGAATTGCTGATTGGAACAAAAGATACGAAGTCTTAGGGAAGGTTGATCCTTATCTTTTGCAAAGAGCTAGGACCAGTCAAAACATAGAGAATTTTATTTATACTAATTTGGAAGATGGTTAAAAATACTTTGATTAGGTTAAAATAAAAGGAGGTGTTTCAATAGGTGAGATACTGACAAATAAAGCTTGTACTGTAGTTTGGATTTACATTAATTTCTTAGAGAATTTGGATAAGAAAGAATAGAATGAATATCTGGATAAATTAAATAAGAATTCTAAATAGTTGAGTTGGAAAATGTGTTAAGATTTGGGATTGAAGTATGGACCAGATATAAGATTCTCCTTGAGTAAAAGAGAGGAGAAGGAAAATGAAGTGAAGAAGGAGTTGGATGAAAATGCAAAGGAATTAGTTAAACAAGACTTGATTGAAAAATACTAAGCAGGTGAAATACCTAGAAAAATCAAAAAATCCAAATTCAATGAAATTGTTTAAGAATTTAAAGAAAAGAAAATTTATCTCACTGGAAAAATTTCAAATTCTGAAATACCATCAACCAAAAGTAAAGCTGACGAAAAGGAAATCCATGGCAAGAAGGGCAATTTGAATCAAAAAACTGCAGCTGAAAAGTTTTGGGACTAACTCTGAGCTTCAAATGAATGATTATATAACAATTTAAAGATGTTGTTTATATTTAAATTAATATTAAGGAAATGAACTATGATTATATAGGGGCCATTAAAATAAAGGATGGGCTATTTTTAGGAGATTAATTTGCAGCATAGGTATCCTATAATTGTTAGATCAGGATCTTGAATTTATTGTTACTAACAAAGTTTCAAGGATTATTAACTGTGCATCTAAACAATTACCAAACCACTGGGAATCTATTGGCATTGTTTATTTGTCATTCCCCTGGATGGATAATGATTAACAAGTATGAAACCATTAATAAATCCTTAGGTTATTTTTCAATAAGATGAGATAATAAATAATGTAATGAAATTTGTAGATGATGCATTAAATAATGGAGAAAGTGTTATTGTTCTATCAGTGAAAGGACACAATCGATCAGTGGCAACCTTATGCGTTTATTTTATGAAGAAATATAGATGGACTCTTTATAAAACTCTTCAATATATGCATAATAGAAGACCAGATTTAGAAATCAGAGCTCACTTCTTTAATTAGTTACTGTCAGTTGAAACAAGATTGTAGAAACAAGGCTATGGTGCTAAGACCTATAACTGGGATGAGATTCACACACAAGGTGAAAATGACGAAATTGTCCTGAGAAATACTTACTTGAATTCTCAAGCCCAAGGAGTAGCTGAATTCAAGGATCACGACCCGAAACCGAAAGAATCTAAGTATATTCCTTACACCATATTTTAGATTGAGATTTGCTGAAAAGGTTTCCATGTACATCCCACCATATGATAAAGTAGTATTCTCTAAAACTAAATCTCCAGCCTAAGATGCAAAACCAATCATAAAGTTATCAGGTTCATCAAAACAAATAGATCCATCATACTAGCAATAAACTTAAAAATAATAATCTATCACCATTTAGGATTAATCCCATTAATAACCTCAAAAAGATTCCCAAAAATAAAGTCATAATCAAATCTATCCTCCTCAACCCCAAAGACCTTCATCTTAAGGCACTCAATAATAAAGACTAACTAAAAGTGACAGTGTTAAATCTGGATCTGTGTTTGACAATAATATTGTTTGTATATCTTTCATAATATTCTATAGAACCGCAAAAAGTTCAACTGAATAATTTCATGGACTCAAGAGAATAATTTCTATAGAAGTCTCAATAACAAAATGGAACTCGTAGACCCTAGACTGCTCCTAATTAACTTAAGGCTCCCAGAGTACAAACCACTCCCTATAAGAGAAATACTAGTTCAGGGCAAAGGTAAGAGGCTGGATCATAACCAAATTCATAATTTAAACCCATGAGATAAAGAGCATAATCTCCAAATTCTGCATATAACTCCTCAAATCCATATGTTCAAAGATAATTTAAAGCCAAAGCATGGAAAAAATGAAGTTCTATTTAATCTTTTTTTGTTTGCTTATTATTATAAGGATATAAAAATCACTCACTTCATCCAATTTTCATTACTAAAACTAATGTTAATACTATTTTATTTCAAAATGAATTTATCTAGATTTTACTCCCGTCATAATAAACTTTATCCTATCAAATCTAAACATAAATCTTTATAGAAGAGCACTTCATATACCCCTCAGAAAAATCGATCTGTTACTTACAACAATAATGAAGATCTTTTGAAACTGATCATTAATAATGAAAATTTATTAGGAATAGTCGAAAATATATAAAAGTAACGATAAGTTTAGAGGTTAGTTCAAGAGACTAATTCTAATTCCAATCTACCAACCATTCCAAAAGTTGAAAAATAAAATTAGAATTTGTATCTTAAATAAGATAGAAAACGTAGAAGTGAAAGTATTCCATATACATTTTAATTGAATCCAAAAAACATTCCTTATTATTAAGAAAACAGAATATATGGAAAATTTATTGAACCAACTGAATATAAAAAAATAGATTATGAATCTATGAAAACTATGTACGTATTAATTATTGGATTTTAGAGAAATTGCGCTTTCTAAATAATTTTAACAAGAATTTGAATTAAAGAATTAATTGATTCAAATAAAAGAAAGATCATTATTAGAAGATTTAATATAATAGTAATCACTTGAATTACAAGATAATAAAAATAAAAATTGCCATTCATAAGAAACTCTGGCTTCTGATGATCAAGATAAAATCTTTAAGAAAAAAGCAAAAATAAATCAAATTGTCTCAAATACATTGAAATTAAGAAAATATAATCAAGAATAAAATAATCAACAAAAATTATCATTAGAATTTTAAATTAAAGATGAATTTCAAAAATATTTAAATGGTCAATTTTGTAATGAAAGCATTTACAATCTGGCTACTAACTAAAATTAATATATTAAGAAGCCAAAATACACTAAGATTATAAGGAAATGAAATGGAACTATAATATATTTTAAATATTATATTTCAAATACTTTTATTAGAAATGGCATTCCTAAAGCCATTTATTGTCAACTTTTTATTCTGAGATTAATTCTTTTTGTATTCCATGTGAACTAAATCAAATGTTTATTTTATTTTACAGTATTTAAAAAGTCCTTAGGTATTATTTGCCTTAAATAATTCTTTAAATTGTGATTATTACACAATATTTGAAATATAATACAATGATCTACCTAGTATAAAATTTATTAATAAATTACTAATTTTGTAAGGTGTGTCTCTAAAGATGAAATGATTGTTTTGTTTAAAAAAAAGATGGATAAATTTTATAATATTTAATTTAACTGATAAAAAACTATGTATAAACCTTCAAGATCACTTAGATAAAGTTAAGAAAAACCTTACGCACACAACAAACCATCTCCATAGACTAGAGCTATTTCATTTGCAAATACAATGGAAGACCCTCTGAGATAAATTAACAGAGAATTAGATAGAGATTTATAGAGGTAGAAGCTGAAAGTATATGAAGCTGAATTATTGGAAGCAAAAGGTAGATATATTGAATTTTATAGATTAGATTAGTAGAGCCAAATTTGTGTAGAGTTGAATGAATAGAAATTGAAAAATAAATAATAATAATAAGTTATAGAGAATTTGGAATTCAAACTTCAAATTGAGAAAAAGGATTCACTCATTTATTAGCAATAAGTATAGAGATTGGAGGAATAGTTCAATTATTTATAAGATAATTATAATACATAAAAATAACAGATAATTGTCTTATAGGAGAGCATAGAGTAAATTTAAAAAAAGCACAATCTTGAGAAGGAAATGAGAAATGAAAAAGAATATTAATTGGAAAAAGAAATTAAGTAAATTAATAATTTAACTTTAAGATTTTAGTAAAACGAGATAAAGAGATACTAAGAGGAGAATATAAAATAGAGGGAACACATCTTATAAAATAATTAATAGTAAAATGCAAATGAATTTATCTAAATTTTAGAAAATAAATTTGAATTAGTGTAAAAGGAATTCATATTCTATAAAAAAGAAAAAGAATAAGAAATTGAAAACAATCAATAATTACTAGATTCTTATCAAAACTAAATTTAATAGTTGGATTAAGAAAATAAATCATTATAAGATAAAAATTTAATAGTCTCATCAACTGAAGAACAATAAACTTAGATTAAAAGTCTGAAAATTGAATTAGAAAGTTAATTACAATTTGTTAAGTAGTTGAATCAATAGATTGCAAATCTATAGTAATAATTGAATCAAACTAATATTATTTGCTAAAATCTAAAAGAAGAAAAATAAGGGGCAATAAAAGAGAAATAAGCCATTGAAACTTATTATCTGGATTAATTATAGAAATAAGATGTGTAACTCTCTTAAATGATTAAATCCTCTGTCTAAAATGAATAAAAGGCATAAATCCATAAATTGCAAATTATTATAGAGTATACTATTTATATTAAGTAATTCTAGACAAAAAGACTTAATGATAAGAGAATTGAGTATGTAAAAAGATTGTAATTGCAATAAATAAATTAAAAATGAATAAAAATTAATAATTAGAGATCTTGAAAAGAAGAATGCCACCTTAGTTATGGAAGTAGAGAGACTAAATAAAATATTAAAATAGAAACTAACAGAATTAGAAAATCAAACTTCAAGATCTTGCGAAGAAAATCATAAGAAATACTTAGAAGAGATTGAGATTTGGAAAAGTAAATTCTTATCCATTAATAAACAATATCACATTAGTTAAGAATAGTTAATGGTTGTCAAAACCGAATTAGATGGCTTAAAAAGAGCCAAATAAAAAGAAAATATTGATCCTATTCTAACTAATAAACTTGTTTGACGTTATTTTTTAAGCTATGTTATATATATAAATTATTGAAATTTACATGTAATTGAAGCTTAATTCTTTAATTAAAATAAAATTTATTACATCCTTTATGAACTTTTGTAACTGAAAATTATAAACCAAAAATGTAGTTATTTGAGAGTAGATCCACGAAATAATAATGAGAACCGATTTAAAAATAATGTAAAATATTGAAAAGACATTTTTAATCCTATATGAAAAAGAGTATATTAATATTCCTTTTGGCAATCTCTCAAATTCTTGATTAAAAAAATGCTCTTAAAATCTTCTAAATATTAACTTCAAGAAAAATTTAATATATTAATTGTTTATTAAAATCAATGCATCAGGACAAAGGAAGGATTTATTATGGCAGATTTGTCCAAAGAGAAAAATTAAGCTAAGGTATGAACTGAATAATCCTTTTAGGTTCTTTTGGAGTAGTATACATTTGTCACGATAAAGTAACAAGGGAATATATTGCTATGAAAGTGGAGAAAGAAAATAAAGATTTAATGAGTTTAGAACGAGAAATTTAAATAATTGAAGAACTAAGAGGAATAGCAGGTACATTAATTTAATATTAATGAAAGGTGTTCCGAAGTTATATTGGTATGGAAATGAGTATAATCAAAATTGCATGGCTATGCAATTACTTGGAAGAGACCTGGCACATTATTAAAAGAAATTTAAGAAACTCTCACTAAAAACAGTGTGTAACTTAGCTGAATAATTACTAACGATTCTTGAAGAGATTCATAAAAGGTATCAAATCAGAATATTTAAGGGGTGTAATTCATAGGGATATAAAGCCAGAAAATATATTGATGGGAAGAGGAAATGATTAACAGTAAGTTTATTTCGTTGATTTTGGTATATCTAAGAAATTTCGTAATAACAATCAACATATGTAAAATTATCTTTTATGCAGTTCATTCTAAGAAAAAAAGTCTTTTATTGGTACAACTAGATATGCAAGTATTTCTGCTCATAAGGGTTATGAACTATCTAGAAGGGATGACTTAGAAAGTTTAGGATATGTTTTTATTTATTTATTAAGAGGTATTGACTAAAAATACATATATAGGGAATTTACCATGGTAGAACATTATCTCATAATCAGATAAGGAGAAAACAAAACTAGTTGGCAAATTCAAAATGGAACTAGAATTAAAAGATTTATGTAAAGGATTACCCAATGAATTTCAAAGATATTTAGACTATGTTTACAAATTAAAATTCACATCTACACCAGACTATTAATATTTATTAGGTTTAATTTAAAAAGCAGCTCAACAAAACAATATTAGTTTTGATAGAAAATTTGATTGGATGGACAATCAAACTAGTTCTACAAAATCTTCAGATTAAGCTTAATAATCATTTAATGATATTGATGTATCAAACATTTAAAGTGATTATCTCAAATTACCAGATTTGAAAAAAAGTGAAAGACGAAAATCTTATCAAATGGATTAAAGTTCTTAATAATCTTCAGTGGTTCTCAATTATGCACCTTCAATTGTATCAAAAGGAAATAGTAGAAATTTTTAGAGATCTCGATAAAATTCAAAATAATCTTATTCCAGAGAATCTTCATTAATAAAATAACCTTTGGAGTCAAAATTTCAAGGACCATTATTTCAAAATAGAGAATTTCGAGATTTTGATGAAATCGAAAACAAAGAGAAAGTCAATCCAATCAAATTTTCCGATTTTGATGATTTGGATGATGAAATGAATGATGATAGACAAATTCCTCTAGGGTTTGGAAATATATAGGTTCATTTTAAAGAGCATTTATCTAAATAATGAGATGATTTTCCAAATTTATTTTGATTACTCAATCTTTTGTATTATCCATTTCATAATGACTAATAATTTTAAAATTATAATATTTATCCATTGTTTAATAAGATCTATTATAGAAAAATTCCATTTAAGTTAGAAAATGTAGTCAATAACAGAAGTAAATACAATTTTCTAATTATGTAAAAGTATATTTAAAATAAAAAAAATAATGGATAAAAGTTTTGCTTTTGATTGGAATACTGTTTTGGAATACATGTGGTATAATCCTCAAATTTTTACTATCTTCTAGCAACCAAATACTAATATTTCATTAATATTAAACATCTTTATTTTATACTTATAAATCTTATCTAGAACTTTAAAGGAGCTCAATTAGGCTAATTATGTTATAAAATATTCAAAAACCATAGTCCAAGCTATAATAATAATAGTTCATTTATAGTGTACGCTTGGTTAAATTAAGAACAAAATTTAAATAATTTCATTAAAAAATATGAATAGAAGTTTCAAAAACATAAAAGTGTAATCTAACTTTGAATTCTATGCTGTCATCTCATAATTGGATAGTCGATCGCCTTTAACTTAGGTTCAGGTTAAGAAATTTTCAGGTATTAAAAATCTTGATGTTTTTGAAACCCAAGATGGTAAGTATGAAACTCCAAAAGAATTATCCAATTCGCTTATGGAAGAGATTTCACTATCAAATGGTAGAACAAAGAACAATGAATTATTACTTTTATATTTTAAAATTAAAGGAAAAAAAGTGAAATTTCTAAATCTTCATTTTAAATATAGAATTTTTTTTTGACATGATGGTCAAGGGCTTTTTAAATGATAAAGATATTGAATTATAGATAATAGAGGAAAGAGGGTGATTAGAGTAGTATTTTTAAGAAATAGAAATGAATGGATGTATTTAAAAATAGATATATAGTTAGTTAGATAATAATGATCTGTTAATATGTATTTGTTTTAAATATTAGATTAATGATTAGATAGATTAATATAATTGAATATTTCAAAAATGAATAAAAATAAAACTGAGAATGGTTTCGATCCATTGACCTTTGGGTTATGAGCCCAATGCGATTCCACTTCGCCACACAGTTTATATTGATAAATCCCCTCCTTCAAATTTAATCTCAATATTCAATAAAAAAACAATTTATATATATATCTTCATCAAACATCCATTAACTCAAACCAATAAACATTCCATTTTATGTCGATAAGATATATAACAGATAGGATAATCTTTTATAATCAGTTCCCCCTTGAAGAATAAAAACTGTAAATGATTCCAGAAGATAAAAGGTGTATATGATACTTAGATTTAAAGATATTATCAGTTAAATAATTATAGAGATCCTAATTAGATATAATGTCCTTAAATGTTCAACAATTTTATCCATTAAATATTTATTTAAAGACAATAATTATGAGTTTTTTGAGATTCTTTGTAAAAGTGAAGAGTAATAATCTAATTGGTAAAACATAGAAAATGAAAAATATATCATATATATAATATATAATTTATAATATCTATGGATTTGAGAAAGTTATCTTAGTATTTCAAAAATGAAAAATCTATCGTGGAATACTTCAATGATAATTCTATTGAGATCAAAGAAGCTTCCTAATTTAATTTTGGATAAAGTAATCCTACTTATTAGCTCTCTTTTAAGTATTTATGATCTAATATAAAATCAAGAAACTCAGACAAAAAGTTAGTTCTAAGAAAGAAACCTGATGGATAATTACTTCCTGGAGTAAATTATTAATTAATTGCTTAGGCTCACCAAATAGAAAGAGAATTTGAAATCACTTTAAAGTTATCTTAAGTGTCATTTCCTGTTGCCAAACCACTTGTATTTTGCAATGATTCAAGTATAATTGGAACTCCATTCTATGTTATGGAGTTTATAGAAGGCAGAATATTCAAGGATATCAAATTATAAGAATTAAGTAATCAAGAAAAATAAGAAATCCTAAAAGAATAAGCTAGAGTCCTGGCTTAATTACACTCCATAGATATACATAAATTAAAGTTAAATCATCTAGGAAAGTCTGAGAATTATTACTAACGTTAGATAGCTACATGGAGTAGACAATATAAATTGGCAGAAACTCAGAATATTCAAAGTATGGAAAATCTTCTCTATTGGCTACCACTGAACATACCTTAAAAGGATGAGCATGACATTGTATGTTTATGTCACGGAGATTATGCCCTGAATAATATGATATTCCATCCAACTTAACCCAAAATCTTAGCTGTAATTGATTGGGAATTAGCCACAATTGGTTAATCATATGCTGATATTGCCTATATGACTCAATTTTATTTCACTAGCCAATTCTAAAGCACAGCTCATTAAGGAGGAGTCAAAGGAATCTATCAATACATTGGATTACCAGAATATTAAGATTTAATAAATGTTTATTTTAAATCTAGGAATATTGATAAATCTATAGATCTTAGATATCATACAGCATTTTCAATGTTCAGATTATCATCTATAGCATAAGGAGTTTACAAAAGAGCCTTACAAGGAAATGCTTCTTAAAAGGAATAAGGATTAGAACTACTAAAATTAGGTAAACATTTGTCTAGCGATGCATGGGAATTGATAAATAAATTGACTGATAATGATCCCTTCCGTTTGAAAGAGTTACTTAAAAATGATATTCCAAGATGGGGAAGCTGGCCAGTTTCTGACAGAGCTAAACATCTCTATTACAGAGTTCGAGACTTTTTGAAAACAGAATTCTTTCCTTATGAAAAACAACTGATTCATGAAGCAGAATCTAGACCACCTGAAACCAGATGGAAACCATTACAAAAACTTCATGAAATAAAACTCAAAGCCAGAGAACAGGGTCTTTGGAACTTGTTTTGTACTTATCCAGTTGTAGGAAAAGGCTTGACTAATTTAGAATATAGTTTTATATGTGAATTAATGGGAACAAGTATTTTCGCTCCTGAAGTTTTTAATTGTTCAGCACCAGATACTGGAAATATGGAATTGCTAGTTCTCTATGCAAATAAAGAATAAAAAATGAAATATTTACTACCATTATTATAAGGAGAAATTAGATCATGTTTTGCTATGACTGAACCATAGGTTGCATCATCTGATGCTACTAATATACAAACATCAATTACGAAAACTGAAAATGGGTATAAAATTAATGGTAAGAAATGGTACATCTCTGGGGCTGGAGATGAAAGATGCAAATTTGCTATTGTGATGGGCAAAACATCACAAGATACTTCAAAACCCCATTAATAATAATCCATGATATTGGTAGATTTACCCAATCCAAATGTTAAAATTACTAGACCTATGCATGTCTTCTTTTCAGATGAGGCTCCTCATGGTCATATGGAAATGGTGTTTGACAATGTTGAAGTGCCTAAATCAAACCTTATTTGGCAAGAAGGCAAAGGATTTGAAATGGCATAGGGAAGATTAGGTGGTGGAAGATTACATCATTGTATGAGATTGATAGGAATTACTGAAAGAGTATTAGATCTAATGATGCAGAGAGGAGAGAGGAGAATGATTTTCAAATCGAAAATGAAGGATATTGGTTCATTCTAATAAAAGTTAGGAGAATTAGCAACATAATTATCAGCATGTAGACTAGTTGTATTGAATGCAGCCATGCAAATTGATATCTTAGGCAACAGAAGTCGATATATCTTCAAAATTCTGAGTGAATGCAAGGCTTTCGTTCCTAAAGTCACCTAAAATATTATCGATGAAGTCATCTAAATATTCGGAGCTGAGGGTGTTAGTCAAGATCAAGTTTTATCAATGGCATTCATTCAAGCCAGAACTCTAAGAATAGCAGATGGACCTGATGAAGTTCATTACAGATAAGTGGCCAGATTGTCTTATTCTTTATAATCAAAGAACGAATTATTGTAGGCTGATGGATATGGATTACCAACCTTACCTAAACTATGATATTTCTTAGAAAATGAATAAGATATAAAATATAACAAATCAAAAACATTCTTTTTATTTTTATATTGATTTAGATAATTCCTTACATTTTGTGATAGCTGTGTTTCCATTTTATTACCAATTCATTCCTTATTTCCTATAATTATATCACTCCAAACTTCTCTGGAAGGATGCTAACAATCTAAATGATGTAATTATAAGAAAAATACTTTACACTTAAATCCATTCAATTATTCTAATACCTACTTGACTCTTTGCAATAAAAATAATATGATTCTTCTCTATTGAACTTTATGTTGATATTTCTGAGTATACTTCAGCAACTCGTATAAATAAAATTGAATCATTTTTTTGATTTGAGTAAAATACTTAAAATATGACCTTATCAAATCATACCATTGTTATAAGAATTACTTTGTCTTACTGATTACAAATAGTAGGACAACATTTCTATAAAGGTAACTCTCTAAGATTTTGTTCAAAGAATAAACTTATCTCCTCAAAATTTCCATTTCTTATGATTTATTCAGAATAAGAATTTTATTTTAAACCTCCATAATAATTATATATATTCTTTCTATAACAGCATTACAATTTATTGTGAAGAAGACAACCTTTCTAACCAACCTTGTGGATTTTTTAAATAATTTTCATTTAATATAATATAAAATAAAAATTATTATAAAATTTTGGAATCTCAAGAACAAAATAATCATTGCAAATCTTCAATGAGAATAAATCAAAATCATAGCGAGTCATTATTGTTGTAAATAGTTTATGAGCAATATAATTCATAGTTATCAATTTATTATTATAAGATATTTCAATTAGAGTTTAATTAATTATAAGATATGTTTATACCATATTCATAATAAATCATAAAATAATATCAAATTTAAATTACAAAAGTAAGTAAGAAAATAAAATAATTTTTGACAACAACCCATAAATAACAAATATTTACTAAGTTATCATGATGACTAGTTCTACCTTTCCTTCATTCCAACATTTGAAAATATTGTTTACCTTCCTACTTAGAAAAAGAATTCTATTGATAATCTTATGATTCAAAAATAAATCATCATAAAATCAAAATTGAATTAGATTCTAAGAATTCTTTTAATCTGAACTATAGTGTTTATAATTAAACAAGTATCAAATGAAAAGCTAAATTATATATTATATGATTTGAGGTTTTTTCTGTAGGATTATAATGAATAAATTAAAATATTATTTTTAAAGAAGGCTGTCATCAATAAAAAGAAAGTATTATATGTTTGATTTGATGATTCCTATGATTTACTTATTTCATTAATTACTTTGATCCTGTTGATCATTTCTTTAATTTTTGTTTTGGTTATAAATATTTTTATAAAATAATTGATGTAACCTTACTATGATAAAGACACTGATGATGAATGTAAATTTAATAAAATCCTATCCTAGTTTCTGATAATACTTCAGTTGAGGGAATGAATTATAGACCACAAACTGCTCCTCCAAGTCCAATTACAGAACTTGAAGAATTCAAAAGGTTTTTGATCCAATAATATTATAGAAAACCAGAATATGATATTTTGGAAAAGGCTTAACGATACTAAAATTATTTAATTTAAAGAGATTTACATAAATATGATCTTGATAATCCTGAAGGTTAGCGAAGTTGTAAAAAATACTTAAAAACATTGGAGAAAATGTGTATAGTATTTATTTACTTAAACATTTTTCTAGATTTATCAAGTGAAAACTTTATCTAGAGAATACAGAAATACATTTTCAAAGGCTTATAAGATTTTATATAAAGAGGATAGATTATGTTATCTTACTGAAATATTAGATAGTGCACAGGAAGGTTTATTTAAAAATTGATTAATAGGCTTTCCTTACTTATGGGTCAATTCTGAGAAATTTGTTTTTTCACCTGATGTACTATCTAAAGGATCTAAATTAATAGAACTATTTTATAAAGTTTAACACGTTATTAGAGTTTCATTTTCTAGAACACTCAAAGAAAGTCCTGACTTCTCATCCAAACTATTAAAACAAGATATTGTGAGGATATTAGAAGATTTTGATTAGATTTGGGTTGATTTTGAAAGAGTATTAGTATAAACATAAGTTTGTAGCTTTATGTTAAAGAATTGATGGAAATTGAAGCAAAAGCTAGAAGGTTTATTCTTTTAGCAATTGAAATTGATAAAGAGATGACATCCATAGAAATTAGAGAAAAATTAAGAGGTAAAATACTTGTAACAAGTGAAAACTATATTCAAAAAAAAGAATAAGTATTTATTTAATATAAAACAATAAGTTCTGTAAGGTTATAGCATAAATCAATTCTGTCGCAAATGTGGAAGGTAAAGGAAGGGATGACTTAGGAATAAACATACTTTTGGAAGCAGAAGGAATCACAAGAAGAGTGACAAAAGAACAATCTAGTGCTGTTCGTAATCTGGCTGATAGTATTAAATCAAAGTAAATTTAAATTTCATGTTAGCTTTTAAAAATTTCGAGAATAAATGAGAAAATATGAAGGAAATATCGAAATGGTAGATCCTTAATTGAAGAATAACTAAGAACTTGTAGATTTATTAGTTGAATATGAATCCTAATGGGAAAAAGGATTATACTATTTATTAGACCCGACAAAATGCTAATAATTAATGTACTTTTCACACATAATTGAAACTACTGCTGAAAAATATAAATAATTTGAAGAACAATTAGAGTGTAGAGATTCTGATATATTTGTAACGATTCCTTGTTTGATTGCTTTGAAATACTTAGAGAATGAAGATAGAAATATTTGTACTTATTTCTTACCAAAACTAAAAGAGGAAACTTCCATGTTATATCAATAATATGCTTAATTAAAAAATGAATTTATAGAGTGGAGAAATTTACACACGAAATAATATGAATACTATAATATTTTGGAAAAATAATTATTGGGAATACCTTTGAGTGAGAAGGAATAAATTGCTCTAAAAAATTTCAAATTAGATAATATTATGCAAAAAATTCGATAAATGTCTATTGAATTATAAAGATATAATGCAATAGAATGGAATTACTTTATTGATGCAGCTATCAACAATAATTGAAAATTTTTAAATTTATATATTTAATTATATTAAATACATGCTCTTTCTTTATTATAAATATAATGAATATAATAATGCTCCATAGTTACTTATAAATAGAGAAATTTACAATGGGTAGAATTGCATAAAAAATATACCCAAAATATTATAGGATGACATAATAAATGACGATTCAAATACGCATTTTCCTATAAGATTAGAAAAATCTATATTTAACATAATAGTATATATCCTATTAGAATTAATAAAATAAAATCCAAATATTTAGAATACTTAATTAGCTAATTCCTTCTATTTTTAAATCTTAATTTTTATAGTATTTAAATTGAAGATATATTTGATTATTGATAAATTATAGATTCTAGAGAGTCTATTGATCTTGATATTTGTATTAATTAATTTTTTATTAATTTTTTAGAAACAAAATAATGGTATAATTTAGAGTAATAATATAGAACAATGAAGATGAGATGGAAAAACAAGCTAGATTAATGGCAGAGAAATATAAAGATGGGCCTAAAAAGAAGGGAGCTTTGGTGAAGAAAACCCAAGAAGTATTCTTTTAAATAAATTATTTTTAGAGAACTTAATTTGATTCAGCAACACATGAAATGTAAAAATAGGCATAATAGCATCCTCCGAAATGACAATTTGATAAAGTATTAAAATATTATCTAATAAATAAACTCACTTATTGTTTAAGTATGTCTCATCTATCTAAATCCAATAAACTTATCTTATCCGATAATATATTAAGGCAGAATGATTTATTATCACTTTAATAGATCAAAGCTAACTAAATATTATATTTAAATTGGAATTGCCTATATTAGATATTCAAATCAATTATTATTTTGATAATAAGATAAAGCATACAAATAAATTACTAATAGTGTTTATGAAAGTAAAAATATTCTTAGGAGAATACACTTATATATATCGTGGAGACATAGATTTAACAGAAATGAATGAATTTGTTAAAACGCTGACTAATAGAGCTTTTGTAATAAAATGGAAAGATTAAGAAGGTGATTTAATCACAATAACTAAGAAGTAGGATTTAGCTTATTTCTATTAATTATGGACTGAAAACTCAGCTACTAATAAATAATCATTCAGACTATTTGTTCATGAGATACCTTAAATAATTTAGAATCTTTAAATAACATAGTTATAATCACAATCACAAATATACTCTAAAATGTTTAGTCCTAGCCAAAGATAATCTATTAGTAAATAGTCTGGAATAAGCTAATTTACTTTTGGTCTATAGCTTAATGAATAAGCAAAAAGTGTAGATATTCAAAAAGAACGGCATTCTCAATAGACAAATTTATAATCAATAATTGAAGTACAGGGTTCTTCAAAGAATATAAGCAATTAAAATTTAGACAAAGTACAATAGTAATATTAATGGAATGAAGATGGTAAAAAATAGAGACTAGGATTGGATTTTAATAACATTCATGCATAAGATTTATCGTTCTTTATGAATATGGATATGAAATAAAGTATAAATAGAAAGGAATTTACAGAAATCTAATTGGCAGTTGATGATGATTATGAGGACTGTGATGACTTTGGCAATATTAATTACAATGATAGGGAGAAGTTTGATATTGCAAACATCTATTGTGATTATTGTTCTGATAAAATAGAAGAGGAGTCCACAATGTTATATACATGTTAATTTTGCGAAGATTTCCATGCCTGTTAGTTATGTTTTGATCAATATTAAGAATAAGTTCATGTGCATCAATTATAAGAAAATATTCTTCAATGATTATTTTGTGATTTATTATAACAACTATTTAATTATCACACAATCATCTATTTGACCATGGAGAAATCAATGAAAAATCATTTTTTGAATTATTTTAGCTTCTTAATTCTAATTTCTATTCAAAAAACATTTTCGCTTTTCCAAAGTTCAAACTTTTTATATCAAGTTTTGGAACACTTTTTTTTGAACGAGCTGTAGAAACTCTTGATTTTTCATAGCTTTTTAGAGGTCTTTGATACTACAACTGATTTGAAAGTGAAACAGTGATTATAGATGGTATATGAATAGTTTATTTTGGACTTAATAATGTATACTTTGATTCATTACAGGCTTTTCTAGGCATTAAACACATCTTCTTTTATCTTTATTAGATATATTATTTTGCTTTTAGGATAATATCTGAGTCTAATTTAGAAGGAGGCTTAAAATTAGGAAATAGTTTTTCATATTAGGATTTCATAAATATTAATAAATTTATTTTTCAATTTTATGAGTCACATCTCTTTCTTTGCACTTATTTATTGTATAATATTAAAATCTATAATTGAATATGAGTCTGTTATATTGAAATAAATTTAGATATTAATTCATTAATTGATGGAGAACATTTAGGATTTGAAAACCTTGATGTACAACTATTTATTATATTTCAAGAGGGCATAATTTTAATGCAGTCAATTTTAGTAAATATATGATAAACAATGACTACTCAGATGTCGATTAATTAATTAAGGATTGTCAATTAGAGAGTTCAGGTCAAAGATTCAATATCTGGAGACTCTTCCTTAGGTATTCAAACTAATCTAAACCTAGAATATATTCAAAAGAAGATTCATTTACTTAAAAAATAGAAAAGTTAACTAAACTGCGAGATAATTATAAAGCATTAGAAAATAGACATTTGAAAACATCTGGTGCATCAACTCAAAATCAAGTTGAAGAGCCAACTAAAAAGGGACCACTCGGAGGTCCTCTTGGAGGTCCCTTAGGAGGTGGCAAATAAAAATAATAGTCCTCTAATGCAATTGATAATGCAGAACTAAGAAATGAAATCAGAAAAGATGTTGAAAGAACATATCAGGAGTTTGAGTTCTTCTCTTCAAAACGAGTTTAACAAATACTTACTACAATATTGTTTATCTGGTGTAAAGAGAATAGTGAAATATCGTATAGATAAGGAATGAATGAGATTGCTGCTTCATTAATTTATATATATACTAAAGAGGCATTGCACAAGGAAGAAGTCGAAAAATACGAAGAAGTAACTTACTTAAAAATTAGTAGGCAACCGAAGAGGAAATAAATATACTTTTGTAATTTAACTCTTGGGAGTATGCTGAACCAGATATTTATTCCTTATTCACTGCCTTAATGAATGATGCTTAGCATATGGAGATGTTTAGACCTAATTACACAGATTAATAAAAAATTAAGCTTTAAAGTAAGAAACCAAGTGCAATTTTGACGAGAGTTGCAAAATTACAGGACATTCTATTAAAATAAGTGGATTTACCCTTATTTCGACATCTGAAGCTACTTCAAGTTGAATTCCAAATCTTTCTGTTAAAATGGATGAGGTATAGCTAATATTAATTCTTAGATGTATGTTTACTAGAGAATTATCATTAATAGAATCCTTTCATGCATGGGATGCTATTTTTTAGGATTTCTTAGTATAATAGTGTGATTCATTATTCTTTGTAGACTGTATAGCTATTGCTATGATAATTTATTTAAAAAATCAATGTAATTTAATATAAGCTAAAAGTATTTAGTAATGGAAAGTGAAGAATCAAGTTAATGTTATCAAAGATTCTTGAAATTCCCAAAAATTACCAACCTTTCTAGCTTATTAGATACAGCAACATAAATAAGAAGTATATTGATATCTTAAAGGTCATCTAATAACTTGGAAGATAACATTGAAGGAATAGAAAAACAGGAAAGATTAATCAATCCTGCATTTTTTGTCCCTGATAAAGTAGATACTGATCCTAAAGCTTAACAAGATAAAAATAAAAGTAAAGAATAGCCTAAATAAACATAATAATAATAATAAGTTACAAAAAATGAAGAAGAACAATCTTAATCACCATAATCATAAATTGTTGAAAAATAGCCTGTGAAATAGTAAGAGTAACAATACGTATTCTTTGATGACAAGATCATGTAATCAAACACTAAGGCATAAAAGTCGTAGTTTGTTGTTGAAGAAAAAGTATAATAAAGAGAATAAAATTAAAATAAGGAAGAGAAGTAAATGAAAATTAAATTATCCATATAACAAGTTTAGGATATATGTATAACAATAGATGAAGCCTTTAATGCGATTAAAAAGAGCAATGATAGGTATTTTTATATTATAATCAATTTAGTTAAAATCATTAGGAATTAATCATCAGTTTAGCTGAAATTAAATAGTATCTGAGTAAATAAATAAGTGAAGCTGAAGCAAATTCAGGGAATTCATAAGAGGAAGGATAAAAAAGTAGAAATAGTGGATTTGTAATAAAGAAATCAATCACAGGTTAGTAATTACCCCAAGAAGATAATGGAATTAAAAGCAAAATGACAGATTTCTTTAAAAAAAAGTGGTGAAGAATAATTAAATAACATTATAAGTTTTTTAAGTATAAATTTAGATTATTGCAAAAAGAAAGTTAGTTTTTATTTTTCATAATAAAATTTGGGTTGTAGTTGTTATTTTGGCAATTTAAATTCAGATAAAATAATATTAAATGTTCATAAATGTCTGAAAATTGAGTCAATGGATTTGCATGATACAATAATGAAAATATCAAGATTTATATGAATGTAATAAATAATTTCTAAATGGAAGAAATGAGAATACTAAATTTTACAATCTATAATAAATTTAAATCATTTTTTTAGTAAAGTCCTCATTTTGACCAAGTCGCTTTACAGTTCCTCTTAATTTATGCACTAAGTAAACTCTCCTAATTATTAAATAAATAGAAACCATTTTTTTTTAACAATTCTTCCAAGAATGTATTTTTTTTCAACCAAGGCTCATAGTTTTATTAAACAATGGCTTCTTCCAATGAAGCCTTTTTTGTCAAAGAATGCACATATTCTGGATCTTGATCAGACTGATCTGCTTGATCTTAATTTATTAATGATTTTGTGGGCTATGACTGCTTTTTCTTTTTATCTTTCTCAATCCTACACCAAGGACATTTGTATCTGAAACTTTTATGTTACAATTACGATTCAATGTCTGAAACTTCGCAATCGATGTGTGTCTAATAAAATCTTGATAATTATTATACCCATTTCCCACATCGTTGATTATCACATTAAACCCACTTCTTGCCATCCAGGAAATTCTATTCGTCATCCTTATACACCTGAGCACAAAAGTAGCAACACTTCCTTCTCTTGTAAAGTTCATAGCAAGTACCACATAAGAGGATAGTAGAATCAGAAAATTTGGCTACTTTCAAATCAAAAGAACTTTGGCAGTATTAATTGAAACATTATCTAACAGGCGGATACTCACCACTTGTTGACATTATTTCAATTTTTGTTATAATATTTATTATTTGCTACTCCAAATTAGAGTAATAATATTTATCTACAATTTAAACAACAAATATATATAAGGAATTAAACAACAATTAAATAAACTAAAAAATATAATAACTATGTTCTCTCCCCCAATCTTGTTTAAAAGAACGAAAAAATTGTGCAATTAATGAATGTCAATTCATAATCTCAACTTTTTTATTATTATTATTAAAAATTATAGGAACACACACGCTAAGGCTAATGAATTAAGTGCAATGATGACAATGAATTTGGTGGATTAGGAATCTAGTTCTGATAAAGTATTTCTAACTCTCGAATTATATAACATACTTATCCGAATCTGATAGTGTCTCAAGTTTTATGAATTTCTTTATCAACTCTTAGGCATAAAAATGACCATTTGAACTAAATACTATTCCTATTGATAAAGCTAATGCCTAATTTAAAGTTATTCATACTAAAGTCAAAATGATAAACGCTTAAGTCACAGCTATATTACTCCATTCCAATGCTTATTATAATTTAGCCCTTGTTAAATAATAGATTTCAGGTTCATCATCATTCATACTTGTTACCATCTTGTAGTCACTAATTAGTTTTTGTCGCAAATTACATTTTAAAGTATTCTATAACTCTTACGATGACTATAAATAGAAATATAGAGAACGCAACTGCCTAAGATATTTTAATTTAGATATTTACTTCCAAGTACGGAATCTAGGAAGCATAGATTTCCCTTGTTCTGAAGAATGCTGTTCGACTAATGTCTAAGGACATCGATCCCAATTGTATTTTTAAACTAAAATCATTAGAAAATTATCGTACTCCACGCTTATACCAAATGCAACTATTGAAGCAAGAAATCCTACTGCAGACACAATAGGTAATATAATACTCATTATAATAATTAATATTTTTTAAATTCTTTTTTCTATATTCTTACTTAAGAAGTATTCATGAAATTATGAGCAGAATTATTGAAAATTTCTGAGTAATATAGCAGTAATTAATTTATTGTTTGGCATAATAAAATTAAATAATAACACTTATCTATCATTGAATGAAAGTAAAATCTTAGAAAGCTTACCATATTTATATATTGATCTTTGCAATCTTATTTAATAAATTAAAAAAGTTAAGAGATTATGATATTAAGACCTGAAATCAATTTAGACTTATGATAAATAAGGTTTCTAATATTGTTTAATTGTATCAAATATTCCTAAAATTTAATTCATGCAAACAAATCATATAAATTATTATAATTAAATTTTGAATGAAAAAAGTGTTAGTTCTTGTATTCAATATTTCAATTATTAGGATGGAGTAAATTTGTCTATTAATGATCTGAAGGACATTTTATCAGGAAATTTAGATGTTGTTGTTGAAATTTAGGACCATGTTAAAAACGTAATTATTATAGTGATAAATTAGCATATACTGCAATCCAGAAATACAGTTGATCTGATTGTTTAAAAGAAAATACCAATTTATGGTATCAGTACAGGATTTGGGAAATTCAAAGAAGTAATTATGAATTTAACTAATCAGATTTACATCCCTCATTAGGAAATGGTCGATTTATAAAAGAACTTGATTGTATCTCATGCCTCGTGTGTTGGAGAACCATTATAACCAAATATAGTTTTGGTAATGATGATTTTGAGATTAAATTGTTTAATCAGAGGGTTTTCTGGTGTAAGGATGTCTCTTATTGAATCTCTGCAATAAGCAATAAATAAGAAGCTTATTCCCAAGGTTCCATGTCAAGGGTCAGTCGGAGCATCAGGAGATCTTGCACCATTATCACATTTAGCATTAGGACTCATGGGAATTGGAGAGATTTGGAATGATGGATAGTATATACCTGCAGAATAGGCTTTAAAAATGCATAATTTTGAACCTTTAGAATTCATGGAGAAGGAAGGATTGGCTATGAATAACGGAACTCAAATGATGGCTGCAATAAACTTAGAAACATTGATGAGATCACAATACGTTATGAATGCTGCAGATTTAGCTTTGGGATTAACAAGTTATGCTTTATAGAGTAACATTTGGTTATTATTCATTAGCTAATTATCGTTTCTTAAGAAATTACTCTAAGAGTGATAACAAATCAAAAAATATAGTATTCAGTTTAATTGGTGAAGAATGGGCAGATCAAATCAAAACTAATCCTAAAAGTATATAGACTGCATTTACTACACATTAAATTATTAGATAGTCTATTGAAGAGAATCTAAGAATTGTAGAAAGAGAGATCAATTCAACAAGTGATAATCCAATTATTGATAATGAACGATAATCAGCAAGATCTGGTGGTAATTTCCATGGTGAATATATGGGAATGTTGGCTGATAATATGTGCATAGCCTTGTAAAGACTTTGTATCTTTAGTGAGGTAAGATGATTACACTTATTATCAATAGAGAAGACAAGAAAGATTGGTTAATTCTGAAATTGGGGATTGTGGATTACCAATGTTTCTAACTTCAAAAGGAGGATTATTGAATGGATACATGATTCCTCAATATACTAGTGCTGCATTAGTTTCTGAAAATAAAGTACTTAGCCATCCTAGTTGCATTGATACTGTTCCAACTTCTGCCAATATAGAAGATCACGTATCTATGGGAGCCTATAGTGCTAGAAAAGGATTGCAAATTGTTTAAAATGCAGAATACATTATTGCTATTGAATTAATGTGTGCAGCATAAGGGTTGGAATTTGCTAAAATCTAATTACCACCTAAGATTTAAAGTTGTCTCAAATTCATCAGAAACATCATTCCTGATGTTAAGACTCAAGTATATTAGATAAGTATTTTAGGATATTTTTATGAACTAATACATTGAAATTATGGCTAAGAATCTTAGGGATGGTCATATAAATCATTTAATGGAAGAATTATAATTATTATGAATATACATATTTCTATTATAGTCATCCACCTATAAACTTTCTTGATCTATCGTCCTTAGCTATGGCCAATTCTTGTTTCAAGGATTTAATCTATTTAATAAATTAACTCGCTAAACCACAGAGCCAACCAAATCCAATATTGAGGAGTTCTGATGTTCCAGTAATAGACTTAAGTCTTAAAGATAAAAATAAGATTTGAAGTGGAACGTTAAACACTTAAAATACCATCCAATATCCAATTCTTAAATATCCGATCTTATTATTCTCCACAAAAACATAATTTTAGATTATTGATAAAAATTGCATCATCAACTAATAATGAAATCCTGAAAAAAGTCCAAAAAATCCTCTGGATTAGTAGATATCTTTCACACTATCACTTAAAAATAAATTCTTTGTAAATGCATTGATAAATATAACTGTCATAGGATAAAATGCCAAATGAAGTAGACATTTTTTGATGTATTCCTATTTTGATGGATAAGCATTTCTATTAATTCTATGTTCTATCCATAAGGATGGAAAAAGTAAATAAAATTAAGCAATTGAATTATTATCCTCAAATACTGCTTTTATTGGTTTATTCAGCCAAACATAATAAGAGATAGCATCTATTGGAGTTGATAAAAACTACAACATTTGATCCTACTAATATTTTGATTTATTTAAAATAAAAATCCTATATTTATAATACTAACAACATTTGTTTATTTTATACAAGAGGATTCTTATGCATATTCTTGTTGTTAAGGGAATCTATAAAAATAAATAATAGGGAATTAAATAGTAAGGGAACTTGATGAATTTTTTTATAAAATTAATACTAATAGTTGTAAGATATGCGGAGGAAAATTAAAATATTAAGATTATTAAACATGACTACTAACTATGAATGATCTTTTGAAGGTATTTATGCAGATATTATAAGAAATTATTACAAAGAAAAAATGGGATATTTACTAAATATTGGTAGTTATTTTATTATCATTTATTTAAAGTGTCTTCTGTTTTGCAGTTTAAATTTATTTATTACTCGAAACAAATATCAGTGTTTCTGCGTTAATATCCAGTCATTTATTGACAAAGAATCAGACTAAATCAATTATTGATATTTGTCCTTAAATTTCAATAATTTAACATCATTGTATTTTTATAAATGATGTTTGAGTTTGAGAAATTATTGGAGAGTTTTTATTCCACTTAAAGATCACAGGTGATAAAATACTGGGATATCTAAAAGAAGGTATAAATATAATGATCCAAAAAATTATTTATTATTATTTGATAAAAATTTAATAAGGGATACCAATATAGGATCTGGAAAAGGATTTGATATGAATATTATCAATAATAATTATAATTGTCAACATAAAGTTAAAGATTAAATTCGCAAAGGATAGATTCTGAATTCTAATTCTAATACCATTTAATTTTTAATCAAAATACATAATTACTGAAAGTAAAAATTAACGATCCAACACAAAACCATGTTGATTATAAAAGAGCCAAATTGTATTTTAGTCTTAATTAAAATTGTATCTTATAAATTGCAAAAATGATTTCAAATAGATATTCTCACTTCGACTAGTTAATTGAAGAGGATAAATTTATATAATTTGTTCAGAATTAAGTGGTTTTGAATTAAATAAAATATTGCTAATATTTAATGTAGAATTAAATAATTAGATTTTGCATATACGGGTCTTTATCTTTGACTACACCTTTTGGTTGGTTGGTACAATTAATTTTTTAGTAGTTACAAATGTTCATATTGACATATCCTGTAAATTCATAATTATCCACAAAATATTTTTGATCCAAATTTAGGCAAATGCATGGCTGTACTTACTTAAGACATTTTAGAGTCTCAGAAATCAGAAGTCATAGTTTATCAACAATACTTCTAGGGTTGTATTTTGTTGCAATTAAATTATTAATCTTCATGTTGAATTAATATTAATTAATTATAATAATGGGGGGATGTCCAGCTAAATGTGAAGTTAAATGTGGAAATGGTTTGAGATATGAGGGAAGCACACTAGAATTAAACTTTGAACACCAAAAAACTGAAAGAAACATTAATCGAAATCGATCAGCTTCTAGTTCTCGTCAAGGGGAATCATCAACCTTTCCTGCTACTCATTTTCATCGAGAATAAGATTATTCAGATAATATTTTACATACTCAATCTGATCCAAAAAATGAATTCATTGCTAGCAACATTGAAATAGAGTTACTTCCAGTTTTTGTAACAACTAAATACATTAATGAATCAACTGTTAAATAAAGATAAAATAGATTTATGGAGGATTTAGAGATCGAAGTCAAGGCTAGAATACAAGAAATGTATTTATCATAATAAAACTAAATAGAAAGCAAGAAGAATAAGAGGAGCGACAAAGATTCATTATAAACGATATTGTTAGGAAACAATTAGAATTTTAAAAAATAAAATCTGAATTAATCTCTAAATCTTAAAATAATTATTTAGAAAATTCATAAAAGTTTAATTAAAAATAATAAATATCACCTAATAAGGATGCTTCAAAAGAATCTAAAGACTCTCAATTTGCATCTCTTTAATCAAGTTCATTGATGTTATCATCTGAAAAGTAATCCAACATTCAGTCAACTGTCAATAAAACAGATCCTCTCAAATACTCTACACAAAATCAACATCATCAAAAAAAGGCTTTTGAGAAGATCATAAGTAATTATTATATAGAAGACAACAGTTGTAGCTGCAATAGCAAAAAGAAAGGGATACTTAAATAACATAAGATTCCATTATCATTAACTTCGAAAAGTTTGCCTAATAAAACATAGGCAAAATCAAAATTATTCAAAAAGAAAAGAGTTCATTTTTCTTAAGAAACTAATTTTAATTTTGAAAAAAAAAGCGAAGATAGAAAACATTCAAGAACATGGTGGAAATCTATTTTTTGATCCTTTTTATGTTTATTAATATCTATTTCAATTATAATTTATATTGGTTTGTTATTTCAATTAGGATACTCATTGGAACAGTTGAATTTATAATTAAATTTACATAATATCCAAGAACAACATCATAATTAAAATTTATAAATAATAATAATAGATTATAATAAATATCAATCTTTTGCAGCTCTATAAATTTTATTGCATGCATCTTCCAGCAAACCTAACAAATTCTCTTGGCTCTCTTCTCTTAATTTTTTCTCTTCTTCAATTTCACTCTTTACTCTTGAAACCAAATCCTTGAGCATCTCAAATATTGCTGCTTCTGATTCCTCTCTATTTTTATTTTATATCTAATAAATACCTTAATTTCTTTTAATTCGACAATCCTTCATTTAATCTCTTGATTTCATCTCCTGCTCTTCTTAAAGTGCCATTATCACTGTCTTCTCTATCTTGCCCTTCAGTCTTCACCAAATCATATAATTTTGGTAAATCATTTTCTAATGAAGTAGTAATATTTTCAATTTATTCCTATCTAATTTTACTCTCTGTCTAAATATCTGATTTTAAGTAGACAACCTAGGTTTATTAAATATGAGTACTTTTTCATCCAAGTAGCCTTATAATTTAAGATTGCCATCCTTTCTAATTGAAATCTCTTGTTCCAATTTAGTCGTTATACGACTTTCAAAAGCAGCAACTTCTCTCACTCTTTGTTCGAATTGTGTCTCAAAAGCATTGTTTTCCTCTTCAATCTATTTTTGCAATCTCACAATTTCATCCTTAAGAGAATGCTGAAATGAGATAAAAATATGTACTAATTTTCTGTTATAAGATGTAATTGTATCCTGGATTCTCTCTTCTACACCAGAAACACGTCCACAAACAACATCTATACGATGAGCTTTGGAACTATCGTGATGCAATTAGATTGAACTGAGTTTTTCAGAGATTTTAGCAAATCGTTCGTTGAATGGTGTATTTGGATTCATTTTTATTTATTTTATTAACAAATTTTATTTGTATTATTATGAATAAATAACAATGTAATTACCATTATAGTTTTAAATTTATCATTGTCGGCAATTCTGGAGTTGGAAAAAGTTGTTTACTCCAATAATTTATCGAAGGTTAATTTAAAAATAACATTGATTCAACAGTTGGAATAGGATTTGGATAGAAAGACATCATTTATAAAGACAGCGTTATTAGAATCAATATTTGGGATACTGTAAACTTCATAATATTATTTAGGCAGGTTAAGAGTCATTTAGGTCGATTACAAGAGCATATTATAGAGGGTAAGGGAAATTAATTCAATATTTAGATCAATTGCATGTCTATTAGTTTATGATGTGACAAAGAAAAAAACATTCCATCATCTCATTAATTGGTTAAATGAGGTAAAGCAAGATTCATCAGCCGAGATAATGATTGTTGGAAATAAAATTGATTAGTGGGGAAGGGAAGTTTCTCAAGATGAAGGACAATAACTGGCTCAATAAATTGGCTGTTTATATTTAGAAACATCAGCAAGAACAGGGGAAAATGTTATACAAGCTTTTGAAACCTTAGTACAACGAATTTATATGAAAATTAAGAATAAGGAAATAGATTTAGATGATCCATAAAATGGGATTAAATTAGGTCAGATGTCTGAAGTGTAGCCAGTTATTAAACAATCTAATGGAAATTAGAAATCTTCATGTTGCTGATGAATTTTTGATTTTTATTTTTAACAAATGATTTAATTTAAGAATTTCGCCAAAATATAGAATAATGAAGCAGTTAATTTAAAAATAGGAAATCATTTTTTATGAATCTGCATATTACAAGTAACTTATGCGTTTAATTTTTAGTATTTATCAGATAATAGATTGTCTTCAATAATTTAGAACTCCTCTTCACTCTGTATATTACTCCTCTATTGATGAGGCTTTTTCAAATGATCAGGAAATGCTTAAACATTGATAAAGATTTAGCTTTCTTATTCATCTGGAATTGGTTCTTACAATTCTTCACTTATTTCTTCATTAGACAGAGAGTAAATGATTCCCACTGAATTATAAATACTATTATTATAATTCCCACTTCCATAATTACTGTTGCTTGTTTAATTTGATTCTAATTTCATCATGGGAAGTTGTAATTGACTTGGTTTTACATGATTATTCTAATTATTGTTGATATTGGATTAAAATTTTTCATAGTTCTTAATCTAAGTCTCTTCAGGCTATAGAGATCCAAATCTATTCACAATTAACTCTTGATAATTATTTTAGGTGTCCCATTCGTATCTATAGTCTAAAAGTATATTTAAATGTTTCGCTGCTTATTATAATAATTTAATTATTGTTTTATAATCGGGTTCAACGTTGAATGTTAATTTTCTTAAATATCTATTATTACCTAAATTTATATTACTCGTAAATTTTGATAAACTCGTTTGGCAAATCTTTAAAGAGAACTTTAGGATCAATTGTTTCTTTCAACTCTCCTATTTTCTGGGTTCTTTGATCATCTGGAATGTGCCTTAAGTTCTGCCATGGTAAAGTACTAATCTAATGATCAAAACCATTAATACCCTTTTAAGCAGAAGATCATAACATAGAATAATGATTCGATATCATCCTTTCGACTTAACTCTTGTCCTTTGTGAGCTGCAATTGACGCGTATCGAGCAGTCCCAACAAAAGGCACCTTCTCCTTAAAAGGACTTGTCTTATATGAAAATATTTACATAAGGTCTCCATTTTTTCGTTAAAATATTTTGCTTATCCCAAAATCTATTAGATAAATAGCATTCTATTCATCCAACATTATATTTTCAGGCTTTAAATCTCTATGCAGCACTCCCTATTTATGTATTTCTTCGAGAATTGAAAGTAGCTAAATCGTGATTTAAAGTATAGACTTTAAACTAATTTTTTTCCTTTGCTTTATTAAGGAGGACATGTCTTTTTACAGCAATTCCATCACTATTGTATTATAGTTCTCTTAAGTTCCATAATACAGTAATTTTGGGATTCCCTTAATATTTTATAACCTTGATAAAATTTCCACCTCTCGATCTAATGAATGCAGATGTTCATTTTCTGGTCTTTCTATTTTTATGGCCACCATTTTACCATTCCTTTAATCATACCCTTACATAACGACCCCAAATGATCCTTACGAAATTCTCTTTTGTGTAAAGTATTGATTATTTATTTTAAGTTATTTCATACACAAATTTATATTAAAAAACCATAATTAATTCATGTTTTGATGCATACTAAGAAAATTCAGTTGAATATTCATCAATATTCTATCGTAATACAATTTGAAACAAATACTTTATAAGCAATCATTAAGGATAGAAGAGTTTTGTTATTTTATCTTAAATATATAAATTTTTCTACAATTATTTTATATAATCAAAAATTCAAAACTGATAAGGTTAATTTTAATAAATTTTTGAAATGAAGAGATAAAAATTCAAGCAATTATTATTTTTAATTATTCATTAAAGAATAAATTTGATAATGCAACTTATAGTTATATTTATACATGATTCATATTCTATTCAATTGAAATTAATTTATATTATATTTAAGATGAAATCAAAAGATTGACTTTTCTAATTATTATTGTCCCTACTAATAAAAAGTGTGATTTTAAACGTACTTAATTGATGTACTTAAAAATTGGAAATATATCATTACCTTTATTAGCCGCTTATGTTGTTTTTTCCATAAATCAAATATTGATTTCATTTTTATAGATTAGATTGTCGAAATGATATTCTGTTATTCATTCAAATTAAAGAGTTGTGAGAAATCCAAAGATTACCAAATTCAGCAATATATTAATACATTACCCTAAGTCCTTTTTTTATTTTAAGATAACCTCACTTTAATTAGATTCATGATATATCAATAATTTAGATATTTAAAATAATTAAACAAAGTTATAAGTGTTTTTATAAACAAATAAATATTCTCACTTATGGAACGCATTCTTTACTTAATCAAATATCCCTTCTTAATTTTAGGATTCTGTTTTCTCTATCTAATTTATAATAATAAGAATGGATACCTTGGCTAATTCTTGAAATATCTCTTTTTATTTCTCATTTAATTTGGTGGGTATTTGTATTTTGAAATTGATAACTTGATCGCCTTTTTAATTTTAATTGGGTGCCAATTTGTTAATTCCCTATAATAATATTATTAAATTATACTAAGCCACTCAATCTCATTTTTTCTCCATCTTGACATCCAGGTTTGACTGAAACCTACTTATCACCATTCAAAGTCTTAATTTTAATTGTATCTCCTAACACTGCTTAAGCAACGGAAATATAAGCGTTGGTAATTAAATCATATCCATCTCTTTTAAAGTAAGGATCAGGTTTGACTTGAATTTTAACAATAAGATCTCCTGATTTTCCTCCATTCTCCCCTACGTTTCCTTTACCTGTAATTCTCAAATTCTGACCATCTGCAATTCCCTTTGGTATGTTGATAGTTTCATTTGTTGGCTGTTTCTATATGCCCATGCCTCTACATGTAGTGCCTAAATGAATGAAATGCAATGAATACATGGATTTTTGATGGAGATTCCTGTTCCTCTGCATTTAGTGCATGCCATTTATATAGTCATAGCTCCTTGTCTATAATTGATAGATCCTCTTCCTCCACAATTAGTACATCTGCCTGGTGCAGTTCCAGGTTTACATTTAGTGCCATTACATGTAGTACAGGTTCCTACTTTCTCAAATTAAATTGTCTATTGTGAGCCTTGAACACTATCCATAAAAGAAATTTCCATTTGGACATGAATATCAGCTCCCTTAATAGTTCTTTCAGCTTCTCCTCCCATATTAAAAAAGGATGCGAAATCTCCAAATATGGATTCATCAAATTCGTATTCTTGTCCTCTGCCACCTCTTTGTCCTTGTCTAAAGAAACTACTATAGGCAGCAAAAGGATCCTAAGCTCCAGCCTAATCCTGTTCATCTCCAGTCATTCCTACTTAGTCATAGACTCTTCTTTTATTTTCATCGGAAAGTGTTTCATATGCACTAGATTTGTAGAAAATAATTATTACTTATTAACTTCAGCAAACTTCTCTTTGGCATCCTTGGATGGATTTGCATCTGGATGATATTTCTTGGCTAATCCATAATAGGCTTTTTTGATATCATTCTATGAGGCATTTTTAGGTACTCCCAATAATTCTAATTGTTTAGATTACAGTATTACCATACAAATCTCTCTTGGATGAGAAAGAGAAAAATGGAGTGAATGCAATTCTTCGAAAAACATTTTTAGTAAAAACTTGCATTGTTAACCGGAAATAAATTATTATTAAAATCACTATGTTATCATTTTCATAAATTCATTCAGTTGCTCATGTTTACTAAATACCAATTCTATCGATTGATGTTTCGAAATAAATAAAACTAATGATTGCTAGCATTGTTTCACCTCCTTAATTTGTCTCAAACATAATGCTGATTCCTTTTGACCTAAATCATGAATCATCTTATTAGAATTATAGAATTCCAAACATTTCATCTTCTAATTGTACTTCACAAATTTGCTTGAAAATGCTGAGCATCCACTCTTACTAATTGTGGATTGTTGTCTAAATGTTCTCTTTAGTACTTTGTAGATCTTGTCTCCTAATATTTATTGAGGGGGAGATTTCTCCATTTGAAAATCTGGGAATCTTCTTGCAGAGGACTAATACTCGAATGATTGTTACATGTAAACTCAAAGATTGCTCTATGGATATGTGATGATTATTAGACTGAGGGGACAACAAGGGATTTTTCTGAGAGGCCTAAGATGACAGACTAGTTTGTTATTTCAAGGCTAATTTTGTTTTAGAACATAATGGATCAGATGAACGATGTCCCAAAAAACTATAAGTAGACAGACTTCTATCTGTTGGTTCATTCATAAATAGTTATTTTTTGGATCTGAAAACTGAGTATTTGTGAGTGGTCCTCTCTTAAGACATATCTATTTATATTGTTCCCAACATACTCATATCTCTGGAATCAGAAGGTGGTATATTCTCTTTTTTTGTCTTTAAAATTGATTCATTCAACTCAATCAAATATCTTGTTTGCATTTAATCTAATTATATATACAAACTTAGTACTTTCTTATTCTTCTAATTGTTTCAGTTTCTGTCTTTAATTTTCAACATTTTAATTATACAGAATTTGTTACTACTAATACATTTTCCTGTTTTCTTCTATTTAATACTCTATATTATCATTAACTACGTTTGAATCGAGAATTAAAATGGGTAATTTTTGAGATTAAGAAGAGAATATTTTGTAATAGTAATCTTATTCTATGCCTATTGAATATTGCAAATCTTTAATTTAAGAATTCAACTATTATTTCATTGACATTAGGTTATCTTGTATTTATTTGATTTATGCTGGGAATGTGATTTCAAAGAGTGTTTTATTTTGAGATTTCAAGCATTCAATGTGATTCATTCTATCCAATATCTACTGCAACTTTTAGGCAGTTTAATTTTGCTCAAGAACAGGTAGATTAGACTCAAGTCTATTGTATTGAGTTTAGATCATAGATTATTCATACATAATTTGATGTATCTGTCTCTGTACATCGACAAGAAGTGCTCTATTCTTAATTTATTATTTTTGTACTTATGTTATTTCAATTAGGATTCTGTTTTGAACTTACAGATTCTTTTAGGTAATTCAGTTTTAAGAAATGAGGAATACTCTGCTATCTAAGCCTAATCCAAGTATTCTTAAAATATGGTGCTATTGAATACTCTAAAGTTGTTATCGTTTTCAATTTATCGAATGTTGTCAATGATTGCATTCTTGTTTGTTTTAGAATTAAGCCCTTAAACAATTTTATCGTTAATGAACAATACTACGTTGCAAAGCAGCTCCAATTATTACTCAGCTTTGGCGTTGCTCACAATTAAATTGTAAAGCTAATCCACATTGAACCATGAAGATTACAAGCCCTTCATTTATTTTTCAATTTAAATTGATTTAGTCTACAACTCCAAAGTGTTGATGATGTTTTAGAAATCAGTTTAAACAATTTCTTTTTCTTATCGTTAATTAGCCAATTATATGTAGGTATGTTTGAGTTGGCTTAGACTTTTATTGATTTCAAAGATGGTTTTAACATTGTTGCATTACGATTTGTTTTATTATGAATCGATGATCTATTCTAGTTCTTCATATTCAATTAGGAGGGTGTCCATTTACAAAATTCTTCCCTCAATATCGCTTTGAATCATTTTCTTTTGTTCTTGAAATTGAACTATTTTGAATTCTGTTTGAAAGATCCTCTCAAGTAAGATTAACTTAGATTCTGAATGTTTTAACAAGATTTATTATTATTAGATAGTTATCTTCTATCCATGTTGCAAGGACAGAGGATTCAAAAAGAACCCTACCTTTTGGGACCAAACATTATTCTATAATGCCTATTTGACTTCTTGTATTGTTATCTAGTGATGTTGCTTTTATAATTAATCTGTTAGTTGTTGCTATTTGTTCATATAGTCTTTAATGATTTATTAGTTTTTGTCATTCAATTCGTTAATAGATTGGATGATGTTGTCCTGCTATTGTTTTAGGTTTTGCAACTTGTTAACAGAAGTTGAGTTTCTGTTTTTTAATTTCATTTCGATTTAAATAATTTTATATACGGTTAATTAAATAAATGGGAACTAAAAGAAAGAGAGTGATAATGCAGGCAGGATCCCTTTTGAATCCCATCTTTCGGTACATATTGAAGATGAATTTCGTTGCCAATCCCACTGATATCCATGGGACGAGATTACTAAGGTTTTTTGAATGGGTTATCCTCTAGACACTTGCAATATTAAACAATGAATATGAATAAGAAATTACATCAACCCAACTTTGAATCTACTTATAGAGAGTCAGTCGAATGCATCTCCAGTAAATGGGAAATCAAGTTTGGTAAGCATTTCCATTATGCTAAGTGAATGGATGGGAAAGGACCTTCTATATGAAATATGCGGACATGTCGACTTTGCATCAAACAATAAGACAATACAATCATTTCATAGAAGGACAAAGAGCTCTCTAAGGAGAAGATGATGAGCCCGATGATACCCTATTATAATATTGAATAAAATATATTGGAGAATAATCAGTGCGGGATTTATTATATTTCTTTTAATAATCATGACACGAGTGCTTTAGAACTTATAGAAACCATCGATATAGCAAATGCTTACAAGATGCTGAGAGGAGGTCTGAAATCCAAATTGAAGGAATTGGCCTCCATCTTCCCATGCAATAATTGGATAGTTTTATCATCTCCAGCTTTGATTAATTAGAAATTACGAGCAGAAGCAATCTTGGCTCGTCTAATTATATAGTCATTTAACATTACCCAAAGAAATTCAGCTAATAGCAATCCTTCTCCTAATTGTAATGTGGTTTTAATGTAATTAATTCTAATTGAATAATAATGCAAGTTAATTACCTTCCCATTATTTTGTATCTAGATTGAGAAACACAGTATCAAAATATCTCGGTTCATTTGCCATGATGTTAGTCTCATACTCTATTTTCATCAATCTCCTTCTCTTCTAACCGATCCAATCAGGAAATTGCAATTAAGCTGACTCCGGATACCCATCATCATAGACAACCATTGAGGTTCCCCATATGTTTCTCTCCACACATCCTAAATATGAATCATTATATTTCTAGTATTTTTCACACTTGTTATCATATATAAGGATTTCTGCATGTGCTTCTAATTGAACTCCATAGAGATATTGCTATTAATCACTCTGTTTTTTTATGATGTAGATGTGTGGGTATTCTGAATCTTCAGTTTGATCTGGAATGTCAGCATTTCGCAATACTTGAAATTGAGTATACTCATTGATTGGCTTGAATACTGCAGCTCTCTCCTTCTCATATTACTTGTATAATGGATAGAGGAATGTTGTATTTATTTTCAAGGAAAAACCCTTAGTATTGACTCTGATGATATTGGGTTTTTCTATGGATAATTGTTTTAGATTCTGTATTGCATCATTTAATAATGGATCTGTGATTTCCTTAAGGATTCCGTTGTAAAAGTAGAGGATTTGTTTTACTAATCTGAGAATAAATGAGACACTTACTTGTACATATACATCTGATACTTGGATTCATAGTGGACTGTGACTAGTAGCAACTTCATTATGATTTCCAAAGTGGGTTTTTTGGTTAAGAATTTAAAGGTGAGATCTTAGGCATTTTCATCGCTAAAAAGACATCCGCAAATCAAGAGTCCATATAATGATTTCAAATCCTATGATTGAAGGAGCAATTAACATTCAGTTGAATTATCCCTAATTTTAAAGTATTCGAAATAGAGGAGCAAATCTTGTTCTTCTGGCAATCTTATGCCATTTGATCCACATACAGGCATCTTAATCTAAATTTATAGATTACTTTGATCAAATCTTGCTTCTCTATGTAATTCTATTTTAACAACTTAATTTGTTGGACCAATTGTCTTTCAACAAATACATTATACTCCTTCTTCATTCCCAATTCCTCATTTTCTATATTTTCTTAATCGAAATGTTTACCTATCACATCGTCGAATACTATGTCAATTTCATTGTCCACATTGTCTTGACTCAATTCCTTCTAGGCCACAAACTAAATCTACTAAAATACTGATACCTCTGGTGTGATAGTGCATTTCACATAAATTTATACAAAGTTTTCATTAGACAACATTGGAACCTTGGAACTTGCTGGTTTGTCCTCAACAGGCTAACTCATTTGATTAGCACCAAATAAACTCTTCTAAAATCGTTCTTCTCTTTATTGCTACAATAACTTCAGATCTATTTGTTATTTCATTAATGAATATAAAAATAAAAAATAAAGACAAATATTTAATCAAGTGTCTTCATTCTCTGTGGTGTGAGGCCACGCATCTATAATTTCGCAATCATCCCAAGTCATCTCAAATACACTAACCTTCTGCATTAAGTTGGAACTACTATTCGTTTCCTGTTGTGGCTACATTCAACCACTCTGGTTAATTCGATATCCACTCGTGTGGTCGATGTATATAATACATTAGAACTTCATTCTTATAGCGTATATACTCCTGAGGATTCTGAGTTTCTCCTCTCAAAATCATAGCTGTGGCTTTGGATTTCAAGTACCATAACAAATATTGTCTAAAAGCTTGTTTTCTATTTCTCACAATCTAACTATCCTCCTTCATCTAAACCAAATGTTCTCTCAATACTCTGAAGCCAGTAATTTATTCCAATTATCTGTTATAGTATATACTGAACAATTTGCCATCATCAACCAATTCTGATATGTAGGAAACGCAATCTTAGTCGTTATTCATTGACTTTATGGCATGTCTTAATATGTTTCTGCAGATGTTCTTCTTATAATCTTTTTAATTCCTGTCTTTCTTCGAGGATTTCTTTATTTTCTTAGTTACAGTTTAACTGCTTTCCTTCTTACTCACCTCTTGGTGACTCTGTTAGGGTTGGTTAACAATATTCGTTGATTTCTACTCAAAATCGATATCGAATTCTTAGAATGAATCATTTTTGAAAAGGTTCAGCTTTTAATACTAAATTTTATTGTTTTCATCTAGGTTCGAACTGAAATTATCGAAGGATTCAAAATCGCTTAAGTATTGATGCAACATTTTGGTTTAGATATTTTATTTTTTTTTAAATATTTCTTTTAATATTCAAATCATCTATTAATAATCTAAACACATTATTCTTTAATAATTATTAACTTTCTTGATGAATTCCGATTCAAGAAATGGTCACTTTATACTTACTATATTATATAATAAATTAATATTTACTCTAATTATTCATCCCAAAACCTACATTGTTATTCCCCTCCTCTCAATTCTAATTCATAAATTCGTAAAATTTACTTGCACTCAACCATTCATCTGAATTTACAAAAATAATTATTATCTAAATTACTAAATGATAAACATCTATTTATTTGATTGATAATTTAGATAAATAACTATTAGATGGGATCCTGTTCACTAAAATAAACATAGAATTAATAGAAAATTAAAGTAAAAAAGCAATGCTCCTGTTGGGAACAGAATGAGGAAACCCAAAATATGTGCTAACCTCCATTATAACCTAATTATGAGAATATCAGATTAAACACTGGCTCAGAAGAATGCGATATCTAGGAGAAGATATATCAACTTTAAATTACTAAAACGGAACCCTTAACATTTTAATCTAAAAATTCATTTGCAATGCACAGCAAAGATGGTCTAGAAATTAACATCAACTAATAGATGTCTGGTTATGGCATGGTTTCATTTAAAGATGGCAGCCAATACGAAGGTTACTTTCAAGAAGGCTTGATTCATGGTTTTGGCAGATTCACAGACATAGATAATAATATGTATATTGGTGAATGGTTTCAAAATAAAAAACAAGGCTTTGGCAAGGAAGTAGTAATAAGTATCTAAACCCTTAATTATAGATCAGTACATTTATCAAGGATAATTTTTTAACAATTTCAAACATGGTAATGGTTATGCACAATATGAAGATGGTACTAGTTATGAAGGCTAATTTTAATATAACCTGCTTCATGGTTTTGGGATTTATAAAGGGCTAAATGGTTTAAGTTATGGGGGGAACTGGGTTGATAATTCAATGGATGGTTAAGGAAAGCTAACATTATCAAATAAGTCAGTCTACGAGGGTTCTTTTAGATAAAATAAAAAGCATGGGTACGGGGTTTATACTTGGGCTGATGGGAAACAATACAAGGGGTTTTGGAAGGATGATGCTCAAGATGGGGAAGGAGAACTAATTAAATAGGATGGATAACCTATACAAAGGAAGTATCAAAATGGTAAACGAATAGCCTCCAATCTCAAAATACTAAGTCCAATCTGTTTTGATTGAATTTTAGTCTTAGCAGAACTTAACTTAAATCATATTAAAAATTGTACGATCTTTATATTTATACTATTTATTATTACTTAAAAACATTATAAAGAGCATTTTTGTAAAAAGTTTGAAATTGAAATTTTAATTCTAAGTTTTAAATTAAGTTAACTTTTCTATATGAAACCAAACATATTTGAAATAATATTAAAATATGTTTTGCGTTATTTTAGAGTCAGACTTCTCAAAATTTTAATTTAGAATATCTTGTTCATTAGTTCAATTTAATAATTAATTATTCAATAAATGCTCATTGGTTTAAATAGAAATTGTGAAGTACAAGTGTGTTTAGATTGCAAATCTTGAGATTATTAGAGATGGATATGAGGAGAATATTATAAAAATTAAATAATAAAAAAATCAGTATTAAATAGTTGATCCAACTTATTGGAATATAAAATTTGAATTATATTATAAATATTAATAAGTATTTTAAGGTATCATATTGTAAGATCTTAAATTTTGGATAGAGAATGAGATGGCTTCTAGATAGATGTGACTTAAATTATTAATGACTGCAGTATATTATGATATTATAAATATTCACTCCATAATCAAAATTTTAATTAAATGGCATCTTAAAGTGAAGAAAAAGATTTAATAGGATCCATATTAAGTGGTACTTCTAATTAACTATTCACAGACGATGAGATTAAATTAGTGCCAAGTTTGTGCAAGAGAAGAAAGAATTTATCACTAAAATCGAAAGAATTCAATCCTGAATAGCATGTCAATTAGCAAGATATTCACACTTCGAATGCCAGCATAATTTCTACAGGATAGGTATCTTAATAGAAATAGCGAATATTTTTTCATACATAAACATCTATAGAAATGTATTTATTTATATATAAATAATCCAACTGTAGACAGTCTTAACTATCTAGTGCCTTAATTTAAACATCAGAGTAGGAAGTCTGTGGTTCAGCAGAGAATTTTTAATGTATTGAAATTCAAATTATATCTGGATAGCATTGGATTCAATAGAGAAACCGTAGATCAATTACAAAGGCAAAAAGCATCTTACTGTATAACCATTAGAATATTAACACACACAATGTTAGTTTAAAAGTGACCAAAGTCTTGATGGGAAAATGTAACTTAGTTAAATGGATCTTGTAAATATAATTATTAAGAATTGTTAGGAATAAATATGTGGCAACCAATTTATAAATAGAAAATTATAAAATGCTTTGGATGGTAATGATTCCAATCAGAAAAGACTCATTTTTTGTTAGGTTGAAAAGATATGTGTAAAAGCAGCTAAGGACATGTTCGGTAATTATACAGTGTAAAAACTATTTGATGTTGCAGATTGCGATTAAAAATTTAAATTATATTCTCTCTTGATTAGTCATATTCTGGAATTATCAAAAAACTAATATGCTTGTAGAGTTGTTCAAAAGATGATAGAATTCGTAAAGTAACCATATATCTATTCAAAAGAGGTTCTCCTGAACATATTGAATCATTCTTCAAAACACTTTATCCACATATTCATTAATTATTAAATGATGTTAATGGCAATTATGTTTTGCTCTCTTGTTTTGAAATATTAGACAAATCTACATTACTGTTTATCATACCATACATTGAAGAATGTGTAATTAATTAAATAATTTAAGATTGCAATTCTCTCAAAACAGACTTATGGTTGTAGATTAATTCAAAAAGTCTTAGAACTCTATCCTTTGGAGATAACCTAAAGGATTTTAGATATATTGATTTCTTTCGCCTATTAATTATGCTATTAGGAATTCGGAAACTACATAATCTAATACCTTCTGAAGAGTGGGCCACAAAAGGAAAGATTAATTATTAGCCAAATTATTAAGGAAAATTTCGAAAAATTAAGTATTAATAAGTTTGGTAGCAATACTGTTGAAAAGTATATCGATCTAATGGGACCTTCCTAAATTATTAAGAACTTATGTACAAAATCAAATGATTAGTACACTATTGATTAATTTTAGATTTGTATTTTATAACTTATCCATCCATCCTTTTGGAAATTATGTTATAAAAAAAGTTCTAATAAGTGCGGATCCATCAGTTCATTATCTAAAATAATTATTGAAACAGCATCCAGATCTTATTTAATAAATTAAAAACTCGGAATTCGGATAAAGAGTTGGTTTAATTTTGGATACTGTATGAGTGCCATTAACTTGTAATAGTAACTTGCTTATGAGTTTTTATTCTGTTCAAATATAAATAAATATTTAATAGATTCAGCATTGCATTCTCATTCTGGTCAACTTCTCATCAGCCATTAAATTACACCCTTTGCCTATATAAATAATTGTTAATTCCTTCGAACCTATTAATTACTCAATTCTATTCTCAATATCCTTTCTTGTAATTCCATTTATTTACTCTTTGAAGTCCTCCATAACAATCAATTTTCCTTTTAAAATGATCTACATAAACAATGTTTTTACATTTTCTAATTAGTATATAAGTTGATCATGTTATCTTTATAAATTTGAATAAAATTTAGTTATAACTATATTTTTTGCTCTAAGTATTTCATTATCACTTATGACCCTTAATTTTTAGATTTCTTCAATAGCTAAATTGTAAATCTCTTATTTCTATAATTAAATGTTATTTTTACGTGTGTATTCATTCCCTTTAAATAAAGACCGAATAATCCAAAATCACTGAAACCTTGGGATATGCAACCAGCATTTGTGAGGAAATTGTTATATTGTAATACTACAATGAAATTAACAATTACATTTATCATAACATCTTGATTTAACTTTGAACCCAATCTCTCCTTCTTATTCATCTAATGGATTATTCAATAAACAGACCTATATTTCCTAAAATCTCACTAATAATTGTATCAATTTGCAAGTTTTTTTCGTCCTACAAAGATGGAGCTTAAAATAGAAGAAGTATTTCAAAGTCGCTTGTAATTTAATTGTCAACTCTTATTGTTTGACTCTTAAATTATTCTATTTAATAAAATGGATCGAAATCTCTCTCTAAAACTATATAATTTTGAATGAAAACGATTACATTCTTAATACTTAGGAGTCAATTGATCAAATATACTAACAATCTCCTCATGCTTTCTTCTTCCCTAATACCCAATTATACAATTATTTTTTGTAATTTATGTGCTTTAAAAGGTTTGAAAAGGTTCGTTTTCAGGGATAACATTTAATAAGCTTAGTTATGGAAAAAAGACTTTCATTAAAATTTGTGATAGTGAGCCATGAAATTTTTACTATTAGACGCTTAAATAATTTGAAATTTTGGATAATTATAATGTCATTTTCTACTTTTGAAGTGCTACACTACAAATATAATCAGCCGCATTTATATGATCTTCATCCAAGAATAAACAATTTGCATTATGCAATTCTGGACCTATAGTAAAATTAGATATAGATTAAGATTCAAATAGAAATTTGCTAAATTTAAAAGTATACTTACTCTATCTACAAATGTTACATTATTTATAGTGATAGCAATGAACCTTATTATGCTTAGTTTTCTGAACGAATACCTCCTCTAAACATAAAGCAATAACTCCCATAAAGTTGGTTTGAATATTTTGAGTATAATGTGAGGCCTGTTTTTAAGGTAGTGATTTCTGGTTAAATGATGTTTGAAAAATAGTATTTCATCATCATTTTGATAATTATATTAATATATATAAGTTATGTAAATAATTTCTCATTATTTATTCCTTAATTTTTTAAGAAGAGTATTAACAAATATTATAATTTTTCTAGTTTGTCTGGAATTCAATCTAGGATCACAAGCAGTAGTATATTTAATAGGATTGATGTCTTCATCATTTTCTATACATTCAGTCACATCATAAGGTGTGCACTCCAAATGTAATCCTGCAGGAGATTCATTCTCTTGTTCAAGAATTGCAAAGAATTATTAGATTTCATACATAATGTCCTCTATTTTCCTAATCTTACGACCACCTTTATCAAGATTATTACCATGCATAGGATCCAAAAAGAATGAAATATTTAACTTTTCCTCCTATTTCCACTGAATTATGTCTTTCAATTTGTCTAATTTATTTTTGCCTAATCTAATAATAGCAAATGCTCTTCCATCTTCATTATTTGGATTTATTAATTTAAACACATTAACAAATTCTGTCTTATTGATTGTTTGTCCAATCTAAATGGATTTTAAGAATTACCTTAATTCCAACAGGATTGTAAATGCCCTTAATAAAATTTGAATGTGCATGATCATGCAATCTTGTCCTGTCCCCTATCCAAGGAAAATGAGTATTCGATAAGTAATACTACTTATCTTAATTTTATTTCACAAATGCTGATTCATATCCAAGATGTAAACATTCATGTGAAACCCAAATTTGTGAGCCCTCATACTGTTTTAGAGTCTCTATACCCTTTTTAGTGTAATGTGCTCCCAATAATAAACGCGAAGGATCAGGATCTCTCTCATCTCTGCTTAATGAATTAATTAAATCGCCTCTATAATTTAATGTGCCATCCTTTTCAAGTAACTATGACCGTGGTTTGGCAAATTATCCACAAGTCCTACCAATAACTATTGCATCTAAAATTTAGCCCATGCGCTACATAACTTTGTTTTTTATACATCATAAAAACTAAATTTCTCTTTCCAGTGTTTTTCGGTACATTCATCAAATACTTCTGCACAATCACCCAACTAAAGAACAAATTTCTCGCCTTTACTAACTCGAATCATTTAATTCTTGAAAGCATTGATATCTTCAAAATTTAAGATTCCTGGAAGATTTTTTATTTTTTAAAGAGTATCTTAACTAATTTCAAACATATCATTACTATAGTTGAGCATCTGCGTATATTGGTAACTATAAGGCCGAATGCTTTTTCCAACCATCTATACTCCATTCTTTATCTTAATTCATAAATAAATTTTAATTTTGGTTCACATTCAATCACATTTACTTAAATATTATAATCATTTTGATTATTAACCTTAAATAACTTTAAAGATGATCTGCTTTTATAGAGTAAGAATAACAATATATTTTAAATTTACTCTATTTATATATATAATTGTAATTTTTAACAAATTAAGAATTTTTTGGATTTTCTAAGCTGATTTATTCAATTTCAACAGAACTTGATTTAATAAGATGAATAGTATTTCATAATAATTATATATCAGCATAAATTTATAATTTTTATGTATACGTTAAATTGTGTTATTTAATTTTATATTCTTATTCTGCCTTCTCTTGAAATGCATGGTGATATTTACAAACAGCTTCAAATGATGTATTGTGATCTGCTTGGAGTCCTGTAATTGGCTAATTGATACAAAAGTAAGTTTTCAAAGCAAAAAATGAATTTTTAGTTCTCGCTGAAGTTTAATAACTTTTTGGTTGAAAAATGAAAATTAGCATTTTATAAATCTAAAGTGATTTTTGGTTAATATATAAATAAAAAATGCTTGCTCTTCTTCTTCTTACAATATATTAGGTCAAGACTTTAACGGTTTAATCTCAAGCTGTAATTAAGGAATTTAATGAAAGAGATGACCTTTTTTCAATTAAATTTATAATCACATCTAGTGATAAAATAAAAACTATATCTATCGACCTCAAAGAACTTAAGTGTTTACAAACATCAACAGTAATAAAATCATTTATCTCCCTAGATAACACCAATAATTTTAAATGCGGATTAACAAAGCCCATACATATTTACTATGAATTTTGAAACTAATACAGTTAGTGTCACTTTGGATAAAGGATAGGTGGTTTATTCCTAATTAGATGTACTATTTGAAATCACTGATTTTTACTATCCTACTTTCAACCAAATTCTTAATTATGATGTGAGGGTCAACAATTAAGATATAAACACCTTTTAGCTATCTAGAGGAAAGAGATTTTTGAATTCTTTATAAATTTCAAGTGGATCATCAATAACATAAGAATACACAGATTTAACTATTTAGTTTTAAAGTAGGTATAATAACCATCTTTATGATGTTATTGTGATTGCAAATTTGATTCTTCTTATGCATTTGATCAAACAATTTCATCATGTGAAGGAATTGACAACATCGGAAAGAATTTAAATTGTTGGGTAAAAAATAATAATATATATATTCGACAAAGTGAGGATGATTTCGTAGAAAAAAGCAAGGATAAATTGATAATATTTATATTAAAAGGTTTTCTGAATCCTTATTATGTTGGAACATTTGTGATAGAAGTAGTAATATAGCCAATTCAATTTTTAGATACAACAATAGTTTCTTCAAATAATTTTTTTAACTATTAAGTCAAAAACTAGAAAAAATCGTAAATTATTCTTACCTAATAAAATAATTACATTAATTCATTATCGTAGATTGATTTTACAATTCATACTTAAAGATTTAATTAGTACCTTTAATTAGAAATATATATTCCTAATAAATCATCCGAAGATCTCATTATTACATCAAAAGATACTAATATGTTAGTAGAGGTTATCACCATTATTAACAAGAGTAATTAATTATTAAAATTAACTATCAATTAGCCATAGACTAATTATGATATCAAATTAGTAATAGAAAATTATCTGAATTCTGATATTCCTTCTCAAGAACAATGTTTTTACTTTTTGACTGAAATAGTTGACCTTACAGACGATTAATTATAGATTTAGTATGGTAAAGGGATCTTAAATTTCATTCCAAATAACATCAAGTTGTTATCAATTGATACTACAAATAACTATATCACCAAAAGTGCTAAAACCATTGTTAAATTTGGAATCGATATTGTACTATAAAAAGATTGTAAATTATGAAATTTATATTTTAGCCTTATTGTTGGTTAAATTAAATGAGAATTTAAATACATCCAAAATTTCAACACTAAATTAAGTCTTAAATGGTAATACTTTAAGTTTATATGGAGTATTCGCCTAATAACAATCAGAATATATAATCGAGTTTGAGAATATCATTAATCCAATTATGCCATCTAAGTTTAGTTATTTGGATTTATAAATAATATAATTAAATGAAGTATATGCAAGTAATCAGAATTAAATTGAAATAGAGATAGTACATGAAATTATAACTATGAGTAACTTTAATCTTGGTTATTTGATAACAAACTCATATACGAATATGAACTTAGATATAAATTTTAACTTATAGCATCCATACTTGACTAACGTTGAAATAATATTTGATGTATCAAATATAAATTTCAATTAACTTACCAAATAAATAGAATGCTATTTTGATACAGCATCTTACACTTGTTAAATACATCAAAATAAATTAACAATTTTCGGAATACTATTTACAAAAAGCTCAGCTCATTTAGAAATTTAATATTTTCCATATCCAAGATCACTACAATCATTAATTATATAATCAATCAGACAATTCAACAACAGCATAACCCTTACATAATCAACACAAGCTTAATCAACTTAACCTGTGTACCAGAGAGAATTCAATCAATTCTAAATATCCTTGTAATCTTAAACTAGGAAATTATAAACAGTACCAATGAATATTATCCTAATTCCTTCATAGGATATATTAAATTAAGAGTATTTAATTTTTAAGTTTGATAACTATTTGGAAATTGAAGGTGATGCCATCTGCTAAATAAATAACAATTTAGTCAGTCTATAATGTGAATTCACTGATGGATAAATTAAGATCTTAATCACCAGTGGTTCTCTACATCATAGTATGAGTTACAGTATTCTGATAACTAAAATAAAGATAATGCGAGAATACTTAACCTTATAGATGAGTGCCTTCACATAAAACAATTACCTATCATAGTAATCATCGTGTGCTTTTAAAATTAAATAATAATCATAATCATCTGAATTTCTGGAATTCACATTTGATCCTATAAATACTGATTTTTCAAGCTAAAGTAATTATCATTTATTTTTTGAAAATGCAATCACTATACCTGCTAATGGGTATCTATAATTATCATCTACAGAATTAAGCATTGATTTTTTATAAGGACAAGTGATCCAAGTCTCTGGGGATGAAGACATTTCTAATATAAAAATCTTTAAGTAAAACTAGAAATACAGTTTATTATTCTATTTCAATAAAGAAGTATAGAGTGGAATGCATCTATTAAAAATGTAAAATGTTAGTAATCCAGTTTATTAACAAAGAAAAGAGTATTATACATTCTCATTGTAAAGTTACGATCAAAATAATAATCCTTTGGAATTTAAAGAATATGATCTCTATTCAATTTTTGTGTGCCCTTAATCAAAATGCTAAATTTGCAATTAATAGGAATTTTGTGATAAATGTGAAGCTCCATATATATTATTTCAAGGTTAATGTTTGAAATAGTGTCCTAACAAAACTGTTTTGATTGGTAACCAATGTTAAAGATGCAATGCAGGTTTGAGTTGTTTAGAATGCAGTAATATTGATACTGTGTTATGCTCTAGATGCAGTGATGGCTATGATCTGATCGATGGATTTTGCATATGGACAATAATATCAAATTCAACTTAAAATCAAAATTCTACAAATAATACATCTAATCATAATAATAATACTAATAGTAATAATAGTACTACAAATTTGACAAATACAACTATTAAGTAACAATAAATTTATGATATTCAAATATTTGCAATTATCGTATTATCTTTTGCAATCGTATTTATACTTAGAAATATATTTAGGAAATAAACTGATTTTAACAATGCCTTTTTGGCTTTTAGTGGTATTTTTGATTTGATTTTACAATTTAGCCTTTTTGCTATAATTCTAATAAACTACAGCATTTCTTAATCTATTATTTCATTGGCTTTATGTTTTGTTGCCATCGTTTAACAACTTTATGCTTATCAAATAATTAAATTACCATTGCAAGTAGATATTGCTTATTAGAAATGCTAAGAACGTAGTAGAGTTGCCAAAGTATTAAAAGTCATTATTTTGTTCATTGATTGGAAGACAATCTTTATCCATAAATCAGGAATCACAAATTCTAAAATCTTTTCTGTTCATTTTCAAGGTGAAAGCAAATTAAAAAGAATATTTAGCTTTTTATTCCTTGTTAAAATTGCCGTTAATATAGCTAATTTAGTTATGTTAGGAATTATTTTATTATCATAGAATCAAATAGCTTAATTGATTTATGAATCAATTTGTTATAATCTGGCTATGATTATCATTTAATTAAATAAGTTTTATTTGATTAAGAATTCTTTGAAAAATGATATTCCTATTGATATTATGACAGATTAATTGAATTAAGATAATGAGAATGAGAACCAAAATTAATTTAAAAGCACAAGCAAAGTAACTCCAGAATTATGATTCTATAATAAAACTGATTTCTTATTTTCATTTATAAATTATATGATTTAAACAATACAAATAATAGGGACTTTGAATTTAAGAAAGTCAAAAAGAAATGAAATTAAAAACAACTAGGGTAGCACAATGGTTTATTCTTAAAATTATGGAAAACAAAATAAAAATGGGGATCTACATTTCTTCGATAGTTTTAAGAATAAAGAGAGATTATAAGAGGATAGGAACAAATAATCAAAAGTATGAACGATATTGAGATTGGAAAATATAAGTAGCTTATTTTTAAAGATACTTGAAAATAAGCAGAAATACATTATAGTTATCTAATAAACATAGACACTACATTACTCAAACTTTCAGTCTATAAAAGCATAAGTCTATTAGTCTAATATTATTATTTAGATTAATGAAATAATTAAAGCAATATTAGACTGAAAGTTTGGCTAAGATGGGCAGAGAAAATATTAAAAACAAACTTAAATATTTGATACCCAATTATAATAACTAGAAACAAATTATAAACAAAGAAAGGCAAATGACTCAAAGTTCAATCAATACTCATAATAACTCAAAAATTAGTTTGTAATTAAAAGACATCAATTAAATGAATCTCAAAGTAGTAAGTAAAAAATGGTTACTAAAGCAGAGGTAGTTATAATAATACCTTCCTCCATTGGATCGACCTTAATTTATTATTAAACCTTAGATTATACTAAAATTATTTGTCAATTGCTAAAAAAGATAAAAAAATTGAATTTACAATATTTATTAATATAATTAATACGTTAAATCACATTTAATAATTTTGTTCTTAGCATTTAAATGATACTGTTACACAAAAATGCATTTAAACTAACATAAAGTACTTTCTTTCAAGGTTCAAAAGAGTTCCTCAAAATTTATATATAATTCATGATTGATGAAATCGACAAAGATTGGAATTTTATTTAAATTAGATATGTTGTTGGTTAAATGTTTTATAATAAAATATAATCACTAAATATAATATAATTGATCCAATCCTCTTCCGTATTCATCCCAATCTAATCCATAACCAATTATAAATTTATCCTCTACTTCTGTGCATAGGTAGTCTGGCTGGATATTTATTTTTTATCTTCCTAATTATATATTTATATTTTACCAGTCTTAAGAAAACAAGCACATAATTTAATGCTAGCTGGTTCTAGTTTCTTCATTTCTTCCATGACTGCTGTAATAGTCAATCCAGTCTCAATAATATCTTCGATTATTATAACATGTTGACCTTTGATGTCATTTTTCAATCCACTTAATGCCTTTACTATTCCAGTCGACTATTTACCTAATCCTTATGAATTATGAAATACCATCATAACTACATAATTTGATAAAATCAATTTAAAATTTAAGCTAAGGATCAACAGCTCTTATCAAGTCTGCCATAAACATGAAAGCTCCATTTAAAACTCCTATAAAAATTGGGTGCTTTTCTTAGTAATCAGCTGAGATTTAATTTGCCGTCTTGGCAACCATGTTATTGAGTTGTTCTTTGGAAAAATACAATTAAAGCTCTTTGCCTTTAATTATTAAATTCATATATTTTTTATCAAATATATATCGAAGTTTAATTAAGTAATTCTAATATATTTAATCAGAAATAATTTCATTTATTTAAATTCACTACTTTGACATTCCCGTTAGGATATTCTGTTTTCTTAATTCTATCATAATTTATGGTTTATTTAACTCCATCAGGATAAAAAATCTCCTCTTCTCCTTTATAATTAACAAATTTTTTGGTCCCGTCTTGGAATAATATCTATTTACTACCATCAACAAAGATAATTTCCAATTACTTATTGCTAAAATAAGTCACCTAAGTATATAATTTAATCTTACTGAAATTCCTTAAGGCAATGTACTTTGAGTTGAATTATTTTTTGAATGATAATAAATTTTAATTCCATTTGGAAGCTCTTGCTTAATATCTTAATTGGGGAAGTGAACAATAACGTAATCATTAGGAAATATTTCTTTTATAAATCCTTTCATTCCCTCAACAACCTTCTTTCCAGATTTAAATATCTTTAATATTTTACCATCTGATCGTTATTATTTTTCTACAAGTTTTTCCTTTTTTTTGGATTACTTTAAATAATCTTTGTAAAATGAATTGTAATCAAATGAAAATTCTTCAATATATATTTTCTTGTTGATATCATCAATTGAAAATTTAAATTCTTTATCCTATATCAACTCAAATAATGGAACAGGTTTTACAATCTCTTAAACTTACTCTTGTTGGTTTTTTTGCTCTTAAGCTTTTTTCTCATTTTCTTATTCTTAAATTTTTAGTTTCTATTTTTTTTAGTTTTCAATCAACTCTTAAACTTCAGTATTTGATTCATATTCATTAATTATTTAAGTTAATTATTCAATTTTTTATTAATAGCTATTAATTTATTCTTCTAAATATTTTGTCTACTCAATTTTATCTTTGTAATACTTTTAATACTTTTATTTCTTTTCCTTTAATTTTTCTTACTTTTTATCGCTTTCTACTTTGAGATCTTCAATTTATTTCTTCAATTCTTCAATCTCTTTGATTAACATGTGGTTTGGTTCATTTGAATGTGTCTTTTGAATCATATCCAGAACGGTTTATTTTTTTTTAATTTTTTCTAATTCTTTCTTTTTTAATTCTTCAAATTCTTATATTTAATTGAATTTATTATACTCAAACATATCTTTTTCGTATTTTAATACTTAAAATTGATGATTTATATCTAGTTTCTCTTTTCTTAGTCTTTCATTTTCATTTTAATAATATTCAATTGAGTTTTAAAGTTATTCAATTTATTTTTTAAAGTATTTCTTGGCATTCTCGTATTCTTCTTCCTAAGGCTCTTCTATTTCTTCTAAAGTTTCAATTTATTTATTATAAAGATTCGTATCAACGAATTTCTTCAACTATTTAACTTATTGATTAATATTGACTTAGACTAAAGGAACTCTTTAGCCAGCCTATTTAACATTATCTCTTTAGCACGCTAATAAGAAATTACCTTTCTTCTTTAAATACTCAGCATGCATTTTTTATTTCTTTTCTAAGCTTTCCTCATCTCTAATTTGATAAAACTCTTAGTTTGTTAAGCGTTAAATTGGTCTATTATCTTCAATGCTGAAATAGGATTAATCCTATTACTCCTCATTTATCCTCTAAAAGTCCAACTCATCTTAAAGACCAAAACTTTGTAATTGTTTTTGTTTTGGATCTCTATTAGATTTTATTTTTAATTGATAATTTTTAGATAAGTCTTGAATTTCTTGTTATTTTTGAGGATTATTATAATTAATTTCACCTTGTTCTAAATCATTGAATGGCTAAACTAAACTAATCATATGCTTATAGGAATCCTTAATCAATTTGAAATAGTACTTTAAAGTAGTTTTTAGGGTCATATTGCTACGTATCATTTGCTTATTCATTATCGTATTCATCCATAATATTTTATAAAAACTCTTAAAAGCTTATTGGCTATTCTTAATTTAGATAAATTTTAATTACCTTTACTCGAGGCTTAAAATTCTTCAACGAGTGCTTTCATTAGTTTTTCATTTGTTCGTGTAAAATTTAAATTATCATTTTATTATCGTTATTTCATAATGAGATTATTAAATTTATTAATATAAAATATTAAGTGAGTAAAATAAAAGCAAAACATCTTTAAATTGAGATGAATTGTTCACAATTACTTGTAAAAATTGATATTATAACATTATCTTAAGATAAATGAAAAGAACTCAATGTATTCAAACTACAATTTTATAATGTTCTGCTGAATGATTGCTTCCTCTTGATTTATTTATATATTATGATAATGGGTATTTGATTGGAGATTTTGATGTAGGCTAATTTTCGGCTCTCGTATGTGTTATTCTGGCTATGGCATATAATTTATCTGTTGAGACAGAAAAGTTAAACTAAAGTTCTTTAATTTTGCTCAGCAATAAGTGACGATTAAATTCATCTGTCATTTACTAGTTTGAGTTAAAGTCTTACTTATTATTTAACATTTTATTACAAGGATGTTTTATTTGTTAAGGATTATTAACTTGCAAGATTAGAAACTGTTATTTTTGGACTGGCAACACTATCTAGTTACGCTATTTTGGATAAAACATTGGTGCCTTTTTAAATATAGATTTATGTAGTTACTATTTTTTGATACTGATGATGAGACAATCCTTGGAGATGAGGCTGCTGTAATATTTCTAGCGATGTATCTTTGACTTGAACTCTACCTTTCATTCTTTTCTACTTTCAAATCCTCACTATTTATCCTATTTATCAATGTATATATTTTTCCATAATCCAATGGTTATGTTTATAATAAGCATAAAAATTATTCCCAACTTTCAGACAAATAGGCTTATTAATTCTATGGATATTATGTCAGATTTATTCTAAAGAATTGATCAAATAGAGCAAAAAGTGAGTCCATTTTAAATAATTTAACGATTAAAAATTACAGAATATATTTCTCTATTTTATAATTTTATATAAAAAATAAAAGAATAAATAATATATACACTCAAAATTGAATTACTTTAATATTATTTCTATAGTCTCATCATTTAGTATCAAAAAGAAATGTATTTAATATTTGAATAAATATCATCATTGATGTGGTTGGGATTTCGTCTGAAATAATTTGCTGTTTTACAATAAAGAAATTTATTCTGATTAATCTTAGAAAATTAAAGCTTTTTAAGTTGTTTAGATTTTTTAAGATTGTTCTTCATCCTCCAATTCTTACTATTTCTTTTTCAGTTAAGTAACTGTAGTAGTCATATAATCAATTGAGATTTTTGATTAGTCTTAAACGAGATGATCTTGAATGACTAGAATGATTTAAGGACATTTGCAGGCCTTATTGATTTTGGTAAATCTTATATTAAATAACTTTATACTTTTGTATGCTTGAAGTCTTTTTAGGCTTAACTTCTTATTTATAAATTTGTTAAAGA